TATCCTACCTTTTCTAAGAAGCAATTAAGGGATTAAAAACTCTTGTCGCATGGCCAGCGACCGGACCCAAGACCTCACTAATTACTCTCTTTACCTATCTATACCTGTATGCCTATCTATCTCTTGTAGCTAAAATACTTCTACTTTTCTATAATTTGTATATACCTAGAGAGTCTATCCTGTACATATACCTACGTATATCAATTCTATAATTTGTATATACCTAGAGCATCTATCCTGTACATGTACCTACGTATATCAATTTTTCATACTTACATACAAATAAGTACTCCTATCCTATACATTTTCTCAATACTTCCTTCGAGTACCCCCACCTCCTGAGAGGTCAGAGGCCGAGATGGACACTTTGAGAAAATCAGTTAGTCCTGGAAACCCATCAGCTTCACCTCGTATTTTTAAGTTACACGCGTGTATTAATAGTTAGATTTATTTAAATAAAATTTATTAAACTTAAATATTTCTATTCGCTCACTCGCTAGCCCTTACTTCCCAAAATTTATTATAAAATTATTAAATATATTATTCTTAATTAATTTATATGCTTGTTTTTATGCTTACTTATTATTTAAAAAGCTAATTTTTTTTTTAATTTCAAAGATCAAAATTTTATTCACGTGTAGTATAGAGTTATTACCGCAATAAAGCTTGAAGAAGATGATTTTGTCGATAATTACCACGATAATGACAATTGTTATAAGCAATGTGTAAATCACTGTTGCTCCTCCTTAAAATTAGTCATTAATGAGGTATTAATTACAAGCATACAATACAAGTGTACCAGAGAATCACCAAAGTGACCTTGATATCCCTTCTCTCTCTTACGACTATCTAGCGCCATCAGTTCGCTCATTCTCCTCACTTCCTCGTTTATGCTAGCGAGTGCAGTATGTACTACAATTTAAATCCGAGTCTAGTAAGAAAAATTACTAGACTGTGTACAAATGAATATAGTATGAAGGAATAAACATAGAGAAGAGTGCGGGTATAAAAAGAATCAGAAAAGCAATGTGGGAGTGCGTCGTAAATTGCTATCGATATGTGATGGTTAAGAAAGAAGAGTTTAAAGTAGTGTAGTTGAGGTTTCGATTCAACTACTAAACTGTACGCTGCATGTAAGTGTGTTGTACACTGACATTAGTTTAACGCAGCTTGGTATTATATTATATCGCAGTCGACTCAGGTTCAGTGTAGAGCCAGTAGAGTCATAGATGAGCCAGTTGTACCGTTAGCTTTTTCCTGTATTTAAAAAAAGGTTTTATAAATACAATTGTTAAAATGTCTGACCGAGATTCACCGAAAAAGCGGGGAAAGAAGAAATCATTTTTGCACAAAGTGTCCAGTGCTTTTGCGAGGACTTTTAATAAATCTAGAGAGTCTTCTGACAGTGAGGAGTATCCGTCCGATGACAACACACCTACTAAGAGTCCCAAGGGATTGTTGGAGGAAAAAAAAGGAGCAGATGGACTGACAAACGGTAAACAGCCGGTAGGCATAACATGTGTCACTGCTGATAGTCTGGCAGGACAAGTGCATAGTAAAACTTCAACAGAATTTAGTGAAGTTGGAGGAAAAAATTCTGAAAAAAGTGAATTAGTTCAACAAATTGCGGGGATTAATAAAAGTATTGTTGGATTATCAAATCAGGATGACACGCCCTTGAGACCATCGCGAAATAATAAATTAAATAAAATTGACTCAGGCTCAGGCTCGGATAGAAATTTTGACGCTAAGAAAAATTTCATGGAAAAATCCAGCATGAAGATAAAAGTTCAGGAGATTGTTGATGATAAAATTGGTCTTGGCCCAGGAGAATTAGTCTCTGCAACTGTTGTAGCTGCTGCGAATCCTGACGTTATTCTTCAGGAAGAAGTTAAAAAGATGATTGATGCAACTAACAATAAGCAGATGGATGTAAAAGCTACCAAGCAGTTATTGATCAAAGAAAAGAAACACAGAGGACACAGTTGCAGTTCTGATAGCGACGAATCCGACTCCTTAGAATACCCGAGCTGTGACGAAGATGAATCTGACACCGAGCCAGAAAAAACAAACATTAAGGATTTATATTTCACCACTGGAAAATATATTACGTATTTTTTTTTGGAGATGGAGAGGAAGTGGTACAATCCTCAAGAAGAGCAGTATGAATACATAATGTATCATTGTTCTCATAATCACAACTCTACAAAAAAATACAAGCACTCAATTAAAAGTAACAGAGGTATTTTTCATCAATAATATTTTTATCTGATGATTTTATCTACCGCAGAATAAATAAATAATTTATTTCTTGACATTTTCAACTGTTTAGATTATCTGCCATAAATGTATACGTAATACTCTATTATTACTTTCAATGCTTAGCTTTACTTTTTATGAGCATATATATATATATATATATATATTTATGATTGAGTAGATTCAGCGTATGTACGTCTTCTTCAAGCTCGGAATAGCTATAAGTGCTTATAACGATTGCATAAATTTATGCCAATATCTTCAATGTTGATTTATGAAGTAATCAGTCCAATTGATGTTTATTAGCGAGGGTGGCGCTTGTAATTAGGTCATAAAAAGTACACTAGTGACGAAATTCAATAGGACTTGCGTCACTGTATTAGCATTGAAGCCAATTAAACTGACAGAAAGAATAGTTTATTTGTTTCCTCTATTATCATTCAGGTTAATGCTAATAAAAAAATTAAAGAATGTTTTTTTCTTTTATTTTTTAGGTGATCAATCGTCGTCGGACTCGGCTTCCCCGCATATATCCACGCAGATGAAGCACAAGCTGCTGCACAGACGCTCGGCAGACAATCTTATGATTAATTCGCTAGCTAATTCTACCCAACATTCCAGTCCAGACTCTGTAAAAAGCGTCCCGATACATCTTAAGCCGCGTTCCACGTCTCATGATGCCTTGCCTAGAAAGCAGGATCGTCCGGGTGTCCTGACGGATGGTGCGTCGATGGACAATTTAGCCAAGCAGTCGCTTCTCGCTGCTCAGGTTCTCAATTTGATGCCTACGCAGAAAGCTAGAGAGCGGTAAATAAATTTTAATTTTAATTAGAATTATTTTTATTAGAATTATTATTAATTTTATTTATTTATTTAGCAATTACTTGCACGGTCGCGTTGCTGTTAATTCACTGCTGGGCCCGGCGGAACTCGAAAAAGTATTACCTAATCGTGAGATCACAATCTTCGTTGGAACGTGGAATATGAATGGAAGATCACCACCGAAGCAACTAAACGACTTGATGCTGCCGTCGGAAATCTCAACTGTTCCAGACATACTGGCGATTGGGACTCAGGAATCTTACTCTGAAAGAAGCGAATGGGAGGCTGCGCTTCAAGAAACTCTGGGGCCTTCTCACGTGCTGTTGACCAGCGCGAGTCTTGGCACTCTTCATTTGGTCTTGTTTTTGAGACGCGACCTCATTTGGTTTTGCTCCGTTCCGGAAGAAGATAGCTTTTCCACGAGACCTGGTACTGCTTTTCGGACCAAGGGAGCCGTGGCTCTTGCTGTCATGTTATTTGGGACGAGCTTTCTTTTTGTTACCGCTCATTTGACGGCTCATCAGGACAAAGTTAAAGAGCGTGTTAGTGATATCAAGAGGATTGTTAGAAATTTAGACTTACCTAAAGATTTGCCTACAAAACATAAAAATAAAGGCGAATAATTATAATAATTAATCTGTTAATTATTGATGACACTGAAGACTGACATAAATTATTTTATAATTTTATAACAATAAAATTATTATGAAAAAAAAATTTTTTTTAAATTCCACATGTGAAAATTAAAAAAAATTATTAGTAGAAATTTTTTCAAGTATTTTTTTTTTTTATTGTAATTAATAATTAATTTGTTATAATAATTAAAAAAATTGAGTTGTCAGCTAGCTTCAGTATCATGATTATTATTATGAACAATTGATTAATTTTAATTATTTATTTCCAGATGTGACACAAAACTTTGATTGCGTTTTCTGGTGCGGTGATTTAAATTTCCGTTTGGCGCAGCCGCGAGAAGAGGTGATTCAGTGGGTGACGGATACATATTTTCCTAGTTCATCAGCGGTGTCAATGAATAAAGACCAATTGCGATCAGTCCTGAACGAAGGTACAGTTCTTCGCGGGTTTGAAGAGGCGCCGATAACTTTTCCGCCCACATACAAGTACGACCCAGGAACGCAAACATTCGACTCGAGTAGTAAACAACGTGCACCTGCGTACACTGATCGTATTCTCTATAAAGGAAAGGGTCATACACGTGGATACATTCGTCGTGTTAGCCATGACAATACCAATTCAAACAAAGACGGAACTATTGAGTGTCTTGTTTACGATTCGGTGCCTAGTATTTGTACATCTGATCACAAACCGGTTTGGGGTGTATTCAAAACAACTGTGAGGCCGGGAATTGACACGTAAGTTTTTTATCAATTAAATTCCTATAAATAAATAATTTATTAATATATTTGTCAATTCAGGATTCCTTTGGCTGCTGGATTATTCAATCGAGAGATTTACCTCGAGGGCATAAAGCGACGAGCTGCTGCGATGGACGAAGACTCTTCTGGTACTTCTAAAGTCTGTTCATTGCAATAAATAATTATAATGTTATTTATTTATTTTATTTTGTTTTATTTAACTCAGGATAATTTTAGAAAAATAATTAAATGTTTGCAATCGCATAATTAAAATTAAATTAATTTTTTTTTTATACTTAATCAGTTAAAAATCATTATTTAATTTGAATCTAGTCTTGAAATACGTATTCAATTTAACGTTTTATAAGTATATGTATTTATTTTAAGTACATAAATTGTTTAGTAGAAAAATAACTTTCATTTTCGAAAGTTTTCACTTAAAAGTATTTTTGTTAATTATTTATTTAATTACTATCGATCAATTATTTGATGCGCACTTTGATGACACAAATTAGAAATTTATTAATATACTTATAAATATATAGCCAGACAATAATACCAATAATTAATCATGGAAAGTTAATAATAATGGACTAGGATAAAGCAAAGTCCAAAATATTTAACAGTTAAAATGTATTATAAATTTTTATTAAATTTACTTTGTTAATTATTTTATTCTGGGACCAGATTTATGAGATCTACAGTAATCTGGCTGTTGAAAATATATATCAGTTGTTATAAAATTATTATGCACTTTACAAAAACAATTTTTAGGTATTTTTTTTTTTTTTTTAAATATCATTGCCATAACTAATGATCTGAGCTACAAAGTACACTATTAATACTTTAATAGATTTATAATTAAAAAAAAATGTTATAAAAAGTAACTAAAATTGCTAATTAACGCCGAATGAAATTGACCTCAGTAAATACGCCAACCTGTTGTACAGGCTAGAGTTTTAAGTTATAATTTAAAAGATTATTTAGAAGCTGATTGTAATTAAATGGAAATTTATAGAGCACGCTACGAGGATATTTATTATGAATTAATCCAATATTTAAAAGCAACAAAGTAGTTTTGAGACTTGAGATTTCTTAGTCTGCCTTAATTAAATATGCCTTATTCACAATTGCTCTGTGAATTAAATTTCATTCTCAACTATTAAATGCTCCGTAAAGAAATAACTTGACTTATCTATTTAAATTTTTAATTATAAATTATAATACATCTTTTATAATTGGTTGAATTAAAATAATAAAAAGTAAAGCCAAAATATAAGACTCGAAAAATAAATGTGCAACGTGCGTTTTTTAAGCACGTATTTTATGAGACTGGATGAAATTTTTTATCACTCTTTTACGCTGTGATGAATAAATTATTTATCAATTATCATCTGGATCTTGTGCGTACAAGGTAGACTTTTGAGTCAATAAAATCCTAAAAGCTTATATTAAATTAATTGATACATTATTATTTATTTATTTATTACTACTTACTGTGCAATTTACAAACAAAATCTTGTTGCAAATATTATTAGTTCTTAGATTATTTATAGTTTAAAATTATACCAATGATGCAGGAAAAAGTATGAGCTGAACAAATTTTTCAATGCAATTGTACTGGCTGTTGAAGATAAAGATTCTAGTGTAAAAGAGTATTTGTAATGGAACGGAGAAATATTTATAATAAAATAGTTCAAATATTAATTTTTTATTTAATTTATTTTAATAAAAAATAAGATACTTGTAATTATCTCTCAAAATCTGTTTAAATCAAGTAATTAACAAGTTAAAAATTTTTTTGGTATTATTTCTTCAATTGACATTTATTATTTTTAATAATTTCATGATAAATAATTAAAAACAAACAGCTGTTTTGTATTTTATAAGTCTATACCTGTCAATAGAAGCGCACGTGACTTAAATAATCTGTGAAATTAAATTTATTAATTTTTAAATAATTATTTATTTAAAAATAAATTTTTATTCAATTTTATGATACTGAAGTTAGCTGTCAGCTGTCAATTTTAAAAACTATCATATTTAAAAATTTTCACTTATAGTTTTAATTAATTTCCACACGTGGAATTTTTTTATTAAATTTTTTTTTAGAATAATTTAATTGAAATAAAATTCTAAAAATATTTCATTAAATTTCACTTAAAATAAACCCACGTGTTAAAAAAATTGTGATATTTAAAATATAACCTCTTTTATGAATAATACATTTTTGTTCTAATAATATTGACACATAATTACAGTAATATAATTTAAATGATAATTTATAAATTAAAAACATTGTGATAATCCGTGTTACTTTTATAAAAGTCAAGGTTGACGTCTAAAGTGTATATATATAGTGATTTTCTAGTGATTTTCCGTGACTTGCCAAATAGTGTCAATAACCACTCCGCATGCTCAGATCGACTTTCTCCTCCTCGATAACTCGAATTGCAATTTTTACATAAACATTCGTGATTCAATATATTTTTTGGTCTCACTTGTATCTATGTCTAAAAAAAGATTTGCCGACAGTTAAAAATTGTTTTTCTAATTATGTTTCTCAGTAATGTATTTCATATTTCGAATAGATTATAAATTATGTCACCTCAACATTTAACTTCTTGTCCTGTCTGCAGCAGTCTAACGAGTTCCTTACAGCTCAAATAATTACACACATGCTTTTATTTTCATAAATTTTATTTGGACATAGGCACATAGTAATTCACAAAAAATGGCTAATCAAGTTATGAAAGAACTAGAAGCTGCAGCTCAAGTTATTTTGGTAAGTTTATAATAAAATTATTTTCAAAATTACTCCAAATAATTTTTGTAATTAAAACAAATACCTTTTTTTTTTGGTTATGTTCGATCAACATATTGACTAATTTTTAATGACATTAAAATTAGCAGTCACCTAATCAATTTTTAATTTTATTTAACAATGAAATTTGCTCCAAAAAATTATTTTTAAAAAATTGCATTATTAGCTTATAAAAATTTCTGTCAATTTTTTTTCTCTTTCTTTTACAAATAATTTATTAAAAAAATATTCTTAAAATTTTAAATATCTGCTAAATTAATGTTTATTTTTATATGGAATCACATGTAAAAAATTTGAAAAATTATACGTGCAATTTTTTAAAAGTATTTTTTTACTTGCAATTTAATTGTTAAAAACAATAGAAATATTTTTTAACTTAAACTTTATTATCATAATTTTTTTCTCTTTTCTTTGCAAAGAATTTATTTGTAAAAAATATTATAAAAAGTCTGCTAAATTAATTTTCATTTATAACATTAAAATCAATTTTTTTTTCTATTCTAATTTATTTGTAACAAAAATAATAAAATAAAAATTCACATTTTTTAGGCTCCACCAAATATAATCTCTCAGGAGCAAAGAAATGCAGCGGAGACAGTTTTCCTGGACTTCCGCAAGACAACAATGCCTTACCAGCTGTGCCGTGAAATCTTAGAAACAAGTAGCGTAGATTACGTTCTATTTGAATCAGCAGGTTTAATAAAAGGAGCCTTAGTCCGAGAATGGACCCTGCTGCCATCAGCAGACATCGGATCACTGCAGCAGTACCTCTTGCATTACATAGTAAACAAACCAACCTTGGCACCGTTCGTCAGAGAGCGGATTCTCCAGGTGATAGCAATAATGGTGAAGCGAAAGAGCGTCGAGGACTCTGGAGCAAACCGCGGAGTGCTGCTGAACCAAGTGGAGTCGATGGTGACGAGCGGGGACTCAAAGAGACAACTGCTCGGCTGCAGCATCATGTCAGCTCTCATGCAAGAGTACGCAACGACTGCCAAGTCTTCAGAAGTCGGTTTGACCTGGGACCTCCACTTCAAAGCCAAGCAGCAGTTTGAAATCACAGACTTGAAGCGTATTTTTAAATTTGTAACCACTGCGCTGTCCGAGCTAACCAAGGACTCGGTCCCCATGGAGACTTTGCCGTTGATAAAACACTTGTTGTCAATTGCCGAGGCAGCTCTCACCTGGGGCTACGTGATATTCGACTCGATGTCTCAGGGGTTGATAAGACTCTTCGAAGATTTCTCGGAGTCTGAAGCCAGCCCATCTTTGCGGCCAGAAAAAGTTTGGCAAGATGTCATCCTGGATCCTATGATCATACAAATATTTTTTACACTTTATTGGAAGGTTCGGACTAACTTGCAATTAGCACATCATGCCAGAAGCTGCTTAGTACAGCTGGCTAGTTTAAACGGCAAGGTAATGGCCACTCATGAATTAAAACTCCAGTACTCGAGCAACTATGTACAGAATTTTATAAAACTTATTTCTAATATTGAAATAATCGACCAAGAAGCGCTGGGTGTTGCTAATATTGTCAGAAGAATCACAATGTTCTTTGGACTGACGCTGCAGTCTCTTGCGCCGGAAATTTTTGGATCTTTTATGGAACAAGTTACCAGACTGACGTGTATTTTTGCAGAAGGAGCTGCTCAGGAAGATTCGGTATTTTATTATTAATTATTTATTTTATTTTATTTTTCATTAGTTTCTAATTGATTTATTTTTTGTCTAGATGTGTCCTGATGACTACTTGTACATGGAAGCATTCGAGCGAATGCTTGAATCCTGGTCTTCAATTTTATCCAAGAAGAGCAGATATCAAGACAGTTTCTTCGAGCCGAGTTTCGTTCAAATATTTAATGTTTATTTAAAATGCCGACTGTCACCGCCGGACGGTACTCGATCTGTTAGCAATAATGAATACGAAAAGGAGATAACAGATATTGAGGAAAATGACAGAAATAAATATAAGAAGCAGCTCCAGACACTTGGTAATTTATTTATTTGGAAATTTTCTATCTCTAGATACGTAATTATGAAATGACCTTGTATATTGAGAACTATAGACATTTTTAAAAATATAAGCTCATCCTGATATTGTACTCATCAAGACCTATCATTTGAGTACCCACATCAATTTTTCATATATTTGTATATATTATATATATATGTATATATGAAAAATATATCAAAAATGCATATGGGTACTCAAATGAAAGCTCTTGATGAGAGTAACATCGGGATGAGCTTATATTAAGAAAGTACAATGTTATTTATTTATAATTCACAAATCACGGCAGTTACATAGTGACTGTAAGGTTGGTAGTAATTAATAAAATATTTAAAATACATTAATAATTTTTTTTACAGGAGTTATTGCTAGAAAAATACCCAACCATACTTTGACGTTGTTGTCTCATTTAATTGAAATTCGAACTACCAAGTTACGTCAGGAATTGAGTCAGCTGACATCATCGCAAAGAGAATCATTTGTCGCTCACGGGAATATGAATGAAGCTCTGCAAAATTTATACGAAGATTTACATTGGCTGGTATTAATAGCTGGACATATTTTATGTTTCGATTCAATTGGTGAAGTAGCTCTCATACCTGCTCAGATGATTAAATACAGCATGGAACAGGTGTTTTATTTATTTTATTACAATTAAAATTTAAACTAGAATTTTTAATTAATAATTTTTTATGGAATTTTAGGCAGAGCAAGGTAAATCAGATGTCAACGTCTCTCTCCAATTAATGGCGTCTCCTCAGTGTAACCTCTCAGACATTCCTGGAGCGGAGGAGTCATCAGACCACGTAATACGTTTAACCGCAGCGATCTTTCGTCTCTGTGAAATAAAACGCAGTGCAATAGAAGCCAATCTCGCTAATTTATTAAGTCCCGAATTGATCAGCAGCGTTGTCTGGTTCCTGCATCGATGGTCACTGAGTTATTTACTGCCAACCGAAAATTACTACTCTGAAATAAGTACAACACTGATTCAGGCATTCGGAACTGACGGCGCAGGAGCACAGTGGGCTGTTAATTTTCTGCTGGACAATATTAAGTGTATAATTAATGTGTTTAAAGGAGAAGAGACACTAGCTGAAGATACTGTTAAATTGCTGGTGGGTCTAGTTGATACTCCTACAAAGTACGTAAATATTTTCGACGGTATTTAATTGTGTTATGGTATTTTATTTTTGAATTTAATTTTTTTGTGATTAATTACAGGTCATATTATGTATTAAAGTCAGAACAAATTGGAAGCTTAATTGACCTGGCAACAAAAAATAGTTTTAGTCTTCCTCAAGTTGCCAAGAGAGGAATAATGTCTACTGTCGTTCAAGTCGGGATTGCGCTGAAGAACAAAAGCAATGAAAAGCAATACTGGTCACAAACTCTTCAGCCGCTGCTTGATCAATTCAAACAAATTATTTCTAGGAATGACTTTTCACGATCGTGCCATCAAGAAGATATTAAATTGCAAATAACAGAACTTTTAGAATTTTTTATCGGTATTGCTCAAGGCGCTCAGTCGTCTACAGCTAAAACTATTTTTCAGTACATCTGTCCAGTATTGGCAGAAGTAGCTAATTTATTGACGGCTTATCATAACTATCCGCAAATAGTTAAACTACTTATTGAATTTCTTTTTGAATGTACAAGAAGGATACTTTGTTACTTGACCGAGGTGCGTATAATTAATATTCAACTTAATTAATTTATTTTGATTAATCGTTTTATTACTTCAGGAAGAAGGTATTAAATTGTACGAAGCAAGTTTGCACACCATACAGAGTTACGCTCGATGTAACAGCAATCGTATAACTACTGACTCGACAAACGAAGAAAATACCTACGAAGATATTCTTCTGCTCATGCAATTATTGACTCACTTACTGAGTGAAGATATGTTCAGGCTAGACCGTGTAGATAGTAAATCGAGACAAAAGCAATTAGTCACTTCTGCAGATGTATTTTTATATGGTCTTAATATTATTATGCCAATGATGACACTTGAGTTGCTTAAATTTCCTTCTTTGTGTCACCAGTAAGTTCAATTACTAATTTTAAAAAATTGCATTTATAATTATTTAAAATTTTTACATGTCAATTTTTTTTTTTTTTTTTTTTGTCATAATTTATTTGTTATAAAATTCTCAAAATTATAAACCATCATAAATTAATTTTCATTATCTTTTCAGATATTTTAAAATGATAACATTAATATGTGAAATGCATCCAAGGAAAGTCTGTGAATTACCTCTTGATTTGCTCAAGCAATTAATGGCCTCAGTAGAATTAGGATTTTATTCATTTGGTAATGATGTCACAAATATTTGTTGTGATATTATTAGATTGATTGCTAAATATTTGCATGGAGAAAATTTAAAAGGTCACCCAAAAAATCCAATCATTGCACCATTTATGAATGTAAGTAATTAATTATTATTAATTTTTTTTTTTTTTTTTTTCTAAAGTAATTTATATTTTTTGACTAATAAATATTTTTTATTTAGGTAATAATGAATTTGGTACTTTCACAACAAATATACTCGGACTTAATATCTTACATAAGCACTCCTATGTATTATTTAATTTGCTGTTACCAAGAAGAGTACCAAAAGCTTGTGGAAAATTTTATAGCGTCGCAACCAAATCAAGTAGTAGCTCAGCGACTAGCCACTGCGTTTAACAATTTAACAGCAAATATTTCAATGACTACTGAACAATCAGAACGGCTCAAATTTCGAAATAATTTTGAAAGCTTTGCTGTAGCTGTGCTGATTAAATAATTACTCAGATTACCAATAAGGTGCTAGTACATCATTTACAAAAAAAATGTAAATAGTGTAATTGATGTAAAAACAAATTTATGAGAAACTGACATTGAATGCGATAACTTAAACAAAATGAAAAAAGTTGTTTTATAATTTTTGACCGATTATTGTATTCAATAATTACTTTTGTACTCTTTTTGTACATAAATTTCGTATTATTTATTTATGAAAAAATAATGCGAATAAATTAGATACAAGCGTGCACTAGTTTAAAAAATTTTGATAACTCAATTTTGCCAGAAATTTTTGAGTCATTTTTTATATTACGGATATAGAATCAACGTATGTCATTCTTCAAAAAATCATTTTATTTATTCCATTGTGCGTATTTTGATATATTTCCATATAAAATATGATTTTTGAATAAAATCATTAATAATAAAATTGAATTTATAAAAAAAAAAAAATTTTTTTTATTCTATAAATAATAAAAAATAGAACTTACCTAAAAGTCCAACCAAATTTTGTAACCATTATTACTATGTCTACCAACTTATGTAAAACTCTGGAGTCAGTGACCTTCGAATTTACTTTTAGAGAGAGATGATTTTTTACTATCGACATTTATATTATTCCTAGAGAACTATTGCCTAATATAGTAAGCTTTTAAGTTTGTTTTTTTTTAAATAATTTTTTGCTTCTGTAGGGAGTTAATATAAAATAAGAACAAAAATATTAATTAATAATGTTATTAAAGGGACTTGTTACCCTTTTAACTATTTTTCATCTCCAAAATGGTGTTACATCAGATTCTCACGAAGCTTTATTTGAAATTACTGACATAAATTCTATTAAAAAATTTATCAATGAACACTATGATATATCCCGCAGTGAAAAATCATTTTCAGTACTTAAAAATTTAACTTTGGAAGAAAAGAACAAATCAGCTTGAGAATTCTACCTGGAAATGAAAGCATTAATTAAAAACATATCAGCGCAATGATACCTAAATATGAAAGATTTTATGATTCTTGGTGGACTGAAGTACCGAAACACTTAAAACCTACTGGAGTCGGTTGGAGCGACAATTTTGATTTGTTCGCTATGAAAGGTCGATTGGAAATAAAATAAATTACTGTATGCATTCTTGGGCACTATATTGGTATTCCGCAAATGAGGACTCCCTCAACTTCAAATTAGATTTACATCATGGTCCTCTTCTTGTTTCCGATAGTATTCGCCAACACTCTTTTATGATTTAACATTCTACTTGTGCTAAAAATTGTGCTAAAAAAGCAGTAAGTGTAAATAGTTTAAAATTTTAATGGAAATTAATTTAGGTATTTTGTTATTTTAAAAATTTTTTTAACAAGTAAATTATGGTAAAAAAAAATTGATTGGTAGAAATTTTACAAAATTAAAAATTCAATTGAAAAATAATTTATTTGTTAAGAAAAATTAAAAAATTAAAAAAATAGTGAAAAGTTTCTAAATACAATTATTTAATTAATCTTTTTTAATTTGCAGGAAGACAATAAATATAGTTACTGTAAAAGGTATTCTTCATACCATCAAGAATTTTACAAAATGTACAAACAATTAGTAATTAAAATTTTCCAAGAGTTTAGTGTGAGATATTTCTTCTCTATGGGACAAGCAATTTGTGGTACAAGTTTGGACTAATATTTTTATTATTCTATTATATGATTAATTATTTCAAATTTCATTTAATTATTAGTTTCACAATTTGATATGGAGAAACTGGAAAAGATGAAGGAAAACTTATTCAATGAATTGAAGACAATAATGAAGTCAACCAAAGAAGTTTTGCACAACACTTATACATATGGACATATGGTATATATATATATATATATGATTGTGATCCGTCAAAATTTGAAAAAATTGGTAATTAACATACAAAATATTTTTATTACTAAAGGGCAAGTAACTTGATAAAATATTAAAAAATTTTAATTTTTGATCCAGCGGAAGAAGTAACACACCTTGAGTTAGAGAAAATATGGTCCAGATGGTTATATAAAAGATACTTTAAATAAGACAGAGAGTGTGATGAATTTCTGATGGACTGTCAATATAGTACGTCCGGTTACCAGATCCCTGAATTGGTAAGTATTAAAATTTTTAAGAGATAATATCTGTAATACTGAAATCAGCTGGCATCTGACAATTTTTTTGGTTTTTATAAAAAAATCAATATAAAAAAAATGTATTATTAAAAAGTTTGCACTTGTAATTTTTTCTTAATTTCTAGATGTGGAATTTTTTAAATTAAAAATTGATAAAATTGACAGATGTCAGTTAACTTCAGAATCATTAATATCTTCATTGATTTGATATTCTTCAACAGAGAAATAGCAGCAGACGTTATGCATGTTTTACCGGTTATGATGGTGGAAACCATCAAATTTCCATAACCATGAACAACCCTCAGATATATCTCTGAGTTCATACAACTGGGGTACAATGAGATTCTGTCACTATTGTATTTTGTACTTGTGGAATCAAGCCGTCGCGCTCGCCCCATATGTCATTACTGCTGTTAGTTTTAGAGATCAAGTTTCAGATATCGAAAACAACAAGTGAGTATATTACAATTATAAATAATGGCACTGAAGAGAATTTGTTAAAAAGTTTTTAAAAATTGACAGTTTTTGGATAATTATAGTATCATTTATAATATTTTAAAAAATATGAGCAAGATAATAAAAGATACATTTTGTAGGGCTGTTGCGGGTCTTAAGTTTGTGAAGAAAGATGGCATGATTCACATTCAAATCGTAGAAAGTGAAGTTCTACCTCACGGTCAATTTGAAAATGAAGTGTGGAAGCCATTAGAAGAATTTACTTACAAATGAAACAACTAAAAAATACTACGTCTTGAAAAATAATGAGTCCCAAATTCCACTTGAGTTGGGAGTTGATTATACTCGTCCAGATGCAATGAACTTGAACGATGTGATGGCACCAGAACAGCATGTCATCACAGGAGTCCGATGGCGCGTGATTCGCCGGAGATTCTCTTGAATTTCCCAAGCGAAAGCAAGGTCCAATTGAATTACAAGTTCGAGTAACACCTCTTGATTTTACGAGAGGAAAATTAATTAATCTCGATCAATTATCATGGATAACTCCTAAAGAACAATCTCTCAAGTAATATATTTTTTTACCTTATTTTCTCAAATTGGTCAGCTTCATGACTTTAATTTATTTCAGAGATGAATTGATATTAGAAAATCCAGATAATCCTATATATGCGAGTCAATTAAAAATTCAGTCGACTATAACGTCGAATAAATTTATTGTTAAATTCCGAGTCAACTGTGCCATTCTTTGATGGTCGTAATAATGTAATGCATAAAAGTCTTTTGGGATAACTTGGTCTCATTCCTGGCTCTGGTGGACACCTTGTCTTCAAAATTTTTGATTTTGATATCAAAAATCGCCCTACTTTAATATCATCGACGATACTTCTAAAACATTACTGAATTAATTTACAAACAAGTCTTAATAGAGTTAGTGATGAAAAACAAGTTTTGGAAACTGACATTGAATGGTCAGTAAAAAATTTCATAACGATTAAATAATTGTTACTTTTTAATTTTCTACTGATTAATGTAATAAATTACTTCCGTACTCGTTTTGTACATAAAATTTCGTATCATTTAATTAGAAAATAATTAACTCAAGAAAATAAAACAGTAATAAAACATACCAAAACATCCAAATAAATTTAATAACCATTGTTATCGCATCTACGGCCTAAAATTCTGTAATCAGTGACCTTCGAATTTATTTTTAGTGATGACGATTATCCACATCTATGCTATATATAATAAAGAACTATTTTTTATACCAAGTTTTTGATCAGTATAACTTGTACCACGTAGACAAAAAATCTGAAAACAGTATAACTGCGTCGAATTTAAAATTAAGTTTTGTTTTCTAATAAAATTGGTTTTTCTGAATAATTTAAAACTTCTGCAGGGAGTGAAAATAAATAATAAGAACAATAAAAATATATCAAGAATGATATTAAAGGGAATTCTTTCTTTTTTAACTATTTTTTATCTCCAAAATGCCGTCATATCAGATTCTCAAGAAATTTTATTTGAACCTACTGATATAAATTCTATTAAAAAATTTATCGATGAAAACTATGGTGCATCCCGCAGTAATTTTTCAGTATTCAAAAATTTAACTTTGAATGAAAAAAACAAAACAGCTGGAGACTTTCACCTGAAAATGACAACATTGGTTGAAAAATTAAAAAAAATGAAATCAAGCGATGAATACTCAGATATTTATTATTGGGATTATGCAGTATTAAAAGAATTAGAACCTAATTTAGTCGGTTATAAGAACCGTATTGATATGTTCTATTTAAATGGTCAACTAAAAACTGTACGCAAGGCGATTGCGTATGACGTAAGCCAATTATCCTCACTTTTTTTAACTTCTTCTAGAAGTAACGAGAAAGTTGATTACTGTATGCATGCTTGGGCATTAAATTGGTATTCCGTAAATCACTATAATTTGCAAAACCAATTACATGAATCGTATGTTAATTTAGATGAATTTGACAATATTCGCCAAGTCTTTTATAATTTATTATTGCACTTGTCTAGTGAAGAAAAAATTGTAAGTATAAATTTTTAAGTTAAAAATTTAATTAAGGAAAAATAAAATAATCATGAAAAGTTCATAATTACCGTTAAATATTTACACTCTGTTATTTAATTAATATATTTTAATTTGCAGAAAGACAACAGATACCATTACTGTAAACGAATTTCTTCATTCCATCAAGGACTGTACAATGTATACAGACAAGTTGTATTTAATAGTTTCCTAGAGTTTAGTGTAAAATATTTTGCCTCGATGGGGATGACAATTTGTGGTACCAGTTTGCGCTAAATATGTTCATTATTTTATTATATGATTAATTATTTTTCATTTTATTTAATTATTAGATTCAGAAGCCTACATGTGGGAACTCAAACGGATGGAGGAAAATTTATTCAATTCATTGAAGACAATAATGGAGTCAACCAAAGAAGTTTTGCACAACACGACAAATTATATGTATCCGTGTGATCCGACGTACTATGAAAACCTCAGTAATAATTCACATAAAAAATATTTATATCACTAAAAGGCAAGTTAACTTGATAATATATTAAAGAATTTTAATTTTTAATCCAGTGGATGAAGAAAGACACCTTGAGTTAGAGAAAATGGTGCAGACAGTAATAATTTCAGAAAAGGATTTGAGCACTACGCACTCTTGCAGTCATAACTGTAATTTGAATTTAATTAAAGATACTTTAAATAAGACAGAGTATGATGAATTTCTAGACTGTCAATATAGTACGCCCGATTACAAGATCACTGAATTGGTAAGTATTAAAATTTTTAAAAGATATATAATATCTATAATACTGAAGTCAGCTGACATCTGACAATTTTTTTGGTTTTTATAAAAAATCAATTTTAAAAAAAAAATGTATTATTTAAAATTTTGCACTTGTAATTTTTTCTTAATTTCTAGATGTGGAATTTTTTTAATTAAAAATGGAAAAAATTGACAGATGTGTCAGTTAAAACTTCATAATTATTAATATTTTCATTAATTTGATATATTCTTCAACAGAGAAATAGCAGCAGACGTTATGGATATTTCACCGGTTACGATGGTGAAGACAAAAAGCAGTATGGCGACTCCGATCGGTATTTCGATAACCGTGAACAACTCTCAGATGTATCTAGTTCATACAACTGGGGCACAATGAGATTTTGTGACTACTGTATTTGTACTTGTGCAATCAAGCCGTCGCGCTCGCCACATGTAATTACTGCTGTCAGTTTTAGAGAACAAGTTTCGGATATCGAAAACAACAAGTGAGTATATTACAATTATAAATAATGACACTGAAGTTAATTAGTTAAAAAGTTTTTAAAAAATTGACAGTTTTTGGATAATGTTAGTGTATCATTTATAAATATTTTAAGAAATGAGCAAGATAATAGAAGAAACATTTTGCAGGGCTGTTGCGGGTCTTAAGTTTATGAAAAAAGATGGCATGATTCACATTCAAATCGCAGAAAGTGAAGTTCTACCTCACGGTCAACTTGGATATGAAGTGTGGAAGCCATTGGAGGAATTTACTTACAATGAAACAACTAAAAAATACTACGTCTTAAAAAATAATGAGTCCCAAATTCCACTTGAGTTGGGAGTTGATTATGCACGTCCAGATACAATGAACTTGAACGATGTCATGGCACCAGAAAAGCATGTCATCACAGGAGTCCGATGGCGATTCGCCGGAGATTCTCTTGAATTTCCCAAGCGAAAGCATGGTCCAATTGAATTACAAATTCGAGTAACATCTCTTGATTTTACGAGAGGAAAATTAATTAATCTCGATCAATCATCATGGATAACTCCTAAAGAACAAGTTCTCAAGTAACATATTTTTTTACCTTTTCTTAAATTGGTCAGCTTCATGATGACTTTAATTTTAATTTTAATTTTAATTTTATTTCAGAGATGAATTGATATTAGAGAATCCAGATAATCCCAGGCATACGAGTCGTAGTGCTACATGGATAATTGAAGACCAAAAATATACTTCGAGGGCGGAATTAAAAATTCATTCAACTATAACGTCAAATAAATTTGTTAAATTCCGAGCATCTGATTTGAAGAAAGATGCTGGACAGTCAACTGTGCCATTCTTTGATGGAAGTGAAATTAAAATGTATAAAAGTCTTTTTAGTGGAGTTGGTCTTGTTCATCGCGCTCCTCCTGGTTCTGGTGGACACCTTGCCTTCAAAATTTTCGATTTTGACATGTCGCCTTACTTCAACGTCACCATGGATTAATATATTTTGATAAATTATTACACTTTTGATAGTGAAAGAGTTCAAAAAAAAGTAGCGATAATTTATTACTAATATTTATTATTATTCTATCATTTATTTATGTTATTGTGCGTACTTTGCTGCATTTAAATACATTAATTAAAAATAAAATCATTTACAATAAAGTTTAATCAGTACAAAATAAAAATTTTCTTACAAATATTTTATATCACAAATAAAAAAAAATAAATAGATAATTATCATATAGACATTTTCAAGACATTATGTACAATCAACATACACACAAGATATATATAATATATTATTTATATAGTTATTATACCTGTTACGTACTTATATATTTGATTAAGTATAAAATTAATTGGAATACATTAATTAGTCAATAATCCTAACGTAAATGATATATCACCAATTTACTTCTGCCTTAAATTTACAGTCTATATTTTTATTCTTTTTAATTTAAAAAAACTCTACTGTCTTTATATTAAAAATTTAATTTATAATCACTGGGATATTACTAATTATACTTATAATTAATGAATGTAAAAATTATATAAATTTTAAATGAATGTAAGCAATCGATACTATTCTTACAGTAGATACAAATGTAGCTAATATATAGAAGTTATAAATAGAGATGTTAAATGATGAATGAATATTAAATTCTCAGATCTTTACTATAAATAAAGAATTAATTAATACTAATGGATTTGTAAGAAAATTGTTGAATCCACCACTTGGTGAGATTGAGATAAAAATTAGGTCCTTCTGGTTCATAGTCAAGGTACGTAAAATCTTTATTACTGACTGGTTTCGCGGGTTCTATTTGAGTACCTTCGTGCCATTCATTGAAAGAAGTTATCGAGATAACTTTAGCACCGCTGTTGATTCCATTCTTCCAAGCGACTTCGTAGTATTGTCCGTGACGACGGTGTCTGATATTCTCAGCATTCCACGCTCTGACCTATGAATGAACAATTCAATAAATAAATAAATAAATGAATAAATAGAAAGATTTTTTAACCAAGTATTGAATGAAAAAATTACTTGAGTGTCGATGTAGCCAGGGCCTAAGCTAGGGATGAACATCAAGCCATTTTGCGCTGCGAATTTATTCAAGTCTTTCCAATTTTTCCAAGTACTTCCGTAGCTAAACCCATTGACAGCAAAATAAGTGTAAAATCCGTCAAAGTGTGACTTTTTAATGTGACTGCGGTGTTGAGAGTCTACCAAAAGTCCGATGTAGACTGCATCAATCTCCGTTCCTCTTAAAGTCAAATTCCCCCTTTCTGACAAAAGTTCCCACCAGGCGCTCGATGGGAACAAGTAAGAGTCGTAGATGTAAATCACCGGAAGCAGAGGTCCACTGCAAGGACAATTGTTAATTTAATAAAACCTAATATGTTTAATTCTAGTTTTGTAATATATATATATATATATTATTAAGAGAGTTAAAAGATAAGTATTTAAGCTGTATTAAAAAATGTTCTATCTCTAAATACATAATTAAGAAATATACTTGTATCTCGTGAACTATTGACATTTTTAAAGATATAAACTCATCCCGATGTTACACTCATCAAGAGCTTTCATTTGAGTATCCACATGGCATTTTTCATATATTTTATATATATATATATATATATATATATATATATATATATATATAGTATTCGTGAAATATATAAATATATAAAATATATGGAAAAATTGATGTGGGTACTCAAATAAAAGGTCTTGATGAGTGTAACATCGGGATGAGCTTATATCTTAAAAAATGTCAATAACTAAAAAATGACATTGTATCTTGTCAACTAATGACGTTTTTAAAGATATAAACTCATCCCGATGTTACACTCATCAAGAGCTTTTATTTGAGTACCCACATCAATTGTTCATATATTTTATATATTTATATATATTATATATATATATGTATATATGAAAAATATATAAAAATGCATGTGGGTACTTAAATGAAAGGTCTTGATGAGTGTAACATCAAGATGAGCTTATATCTTTAAAAACATCAATAGTTAAAAAAGTACAGTGCAATTTAACAAAAGTCATTATTTAATAAAGCTAAATTTTATTTATTTATACTTTTCAAGTCACGGCAGTCACATAGTGACTGCAAGGTTACTAGTATCAAATAAATAAAAAAATTACTCATTGTTTCTCTTCGCCCGGTGAAGTGCCGGATGTGAAGCGTAGTGCCCGAACAAGTACTTGATATGTTGGATTAAATTTATAGGATTTCGTCCAGGATAAGGCTCAATATGCGGAGCTATTTTTAGATTATATCGATGAGCGGCGTCCAACAAATCAGCCATCACAGAGTCTGTGTTGTCGGGTGTGTTTGGCGGTGTCCAAGAGACAACAAGCACTCCAACGCCTGTTTCCCTCAATTGTCTCATATGTAGGTCTATCACCTAATAAATAAAAAATAGATAAATGTCATCAAATTGAAATTTAATAAATGGTTTACTAATTTAAGACAATAAATACCTGAGGATCATTGGAGCTGTAGCAACCGATACTGGGATAATAACTGGCGCCGATATCAGCTGGTGGACGGTGTCTACCCTCTGGAAAGACTCTTTTGTCATTTTTCTTCCAGTTGGGAAGATAATCGTGGTTCCAATGCTTCCACACCCCATCGTACTCCAGCGAACGGTACCAGGGGTAGTAAAATATGTGGATATTATAATTAATATCAATCTGCTTGGTGTCATTGATCATCAGCAAGGGCAATATCTTGCTTCTCATTTTCCATGACAACCCCGTAATTTTATTCCTCGTCTCGGTATTTTTAATATCCTGATCTTCATTTTGGCTGTCACTGTTATTTAAAATTAATGACTGCAAGTTATTAATAAATAGTGAGGAATTATCTAAATGCCGATTATGTGATATCGATCCAAAGGGCATAGCACTGCTCCATTCTACCCTCGCAGTCGTTCCAGTATTCGACGAATGACATTTTGAGGATTCTAACGGTGTTAATTTAACTATTATAACCATTGCCATCAGTGTCGATAACACAAAGACCATCAAAGATAAATAAAAGCATCGCCGTAGTGACACTGAACTTATCACCGATCCCAGCATCATTTTTTTTAGTCCACACTTTTTGAACTCACTAACTAAAATAAATAAACAAATTTATAACACCTTAAATTATAATGAAAATAATTTTTAAAAAAATTTCACATGGAAAAATTAAAGAAAAAAATAAAGTTAGCTGACATTTAAAAATTTATATGATTTTTTTTTTATTAAAGAATTATTATAAAAAAATTTTAAATCTTCAAAATTTATAAGTGCAATTTTTTAAAAATATTTTTTAGTCATAAATTAATAAATTAAGCAACATAAAAAAATTAAAATGTCGGCTAACTATTATTATAAATTATCAGAAAATTTTTAGAAACACTTTTCGTATTGTAAGAATTAAAATTGACAGCTGTCAAAATTACAATAATAATTAAAAAAAAAAATACCTTTTAAAAGTCAACAATCAAAAAATTAAAATAAAATAGTCATTGTTATTAATTTAAAAAATTATCTACTTAGTTGTTGACAATTACCCAATCCAACTGTTATCAGTCATTTAATTATCTTAGCAACCGCATACCACATATATTTATAAATAATGATATATGTTATGTTGAAAAAAAGACAGAGACAGGGAAGTAGTAAATCCTACCCCCACTTAACTTCTATCTCCTACTGTCTCCTTTGTCTGTCGTTCGGTGATGGCGCTCCTTTCAATTTAAACACACTCTTATAAATTTATAAATGACACTGAAGTTAGCAGACGTGTAAGAAGTTTATGATTTTTTTTTTATTAATTAAATAACAACTAAAAAGATATATCTAAAAAATTGCACTTTTAGTTTTTTAAGTTTTTTTACATGTGACAATTTTTTTTATGAAAATTAATTTAGCACATATAATTTTTTTAACAAATAAATTATGTCAAAGAAAATGAGAGAAAAAATTTGACATTTAGAAAATTAAAAAAATAAAAAATCCAATTTTTCGGAGCAAATTTATTTATCAAAAAATTGCTGCTAACTTTAATGTAATATTTTTTTTTAATTGTTTAATTGAAATTATTTAAATAATAAATTTTGAAATGTCGGATAACTTCATTTTCATTCTTATAAATATACATATACAATTCAGTATAAAAGTGTTAGTGTGAATTAAACTATACTGCATTGCACACACACACACACACACACACACACACACACACTTATCTATTACTCTATCATCCCCTCCAGCTGTCAGTTGAAATCCTGCGTGCATTAACTATAGATAAAAGATATTCGGCATACGTATACGCAGGCATTACGATCAGATCATTCGATCATTTACCACAGGCATATATAGATTGTATTAAATTTATATATATTAAATAAAATAAAAAGTACTACCCCACCAAAGCATCAATTAAATTATCAGCATTTAATTATGCTGTTTAAAATTAAGCAAGTACTTAAACTGAATAATAAATAAGTAAACAATAAAACTGACATTTGTTAACAGTGTGTGATAATCTACTGACTTATTTTAATAATTATTAAAATTGCAGTACATATTGTACTGGTAACCTAACAGCACCAGAGCACCAGATACTGTGTGTGTGTGTGTGTATGAAAAAAAATGTATGTGTATTAAAAGGGGTTTTTAGTTAGTGGCATACTATCATACCGACGTCATCTGAACGTAAATTTACTTAGCTATAAATGTGTGGATTAGATATTATTAAATACTCAAATGTATAATAATAGTGGTTAACAATTCAAGTGGTGTTATTAAAGACAAAAATATATATTTTTTAATTATTACGTAAAGTTACAATGCTAGAGAAGAAATAATTATGAAATTTTACAACTCAATGTTATTGTTAAATAATTATTTTGTGTAATGTAAATGTAAATAGTGCAAAGAACTGTTTGTAGGTTGTATCATTTAAATTGTCGGTAAATTAGTTGGTGGATTGATATATTATTATATTATATAGTTTTAATTGATATTTCAGTGGGATAACCTTGACATTTTAAATTAAAATTGTTGGTGTCAGTGTGTGTTCAAACATACTGTGGTAGAGTGAATTACTATTGTTTACTCTTTTTATTATTATTTTTTTATATATTTACTGTTTGATTGATTAGAATTACTTGTATTGAAATGCCGCTTTTTGGTAAAAAAGATTCTAATAAAAAATTGAAAAAGGATGGAAAGGATGATAAAATGTCATCTGTTGATGATAAATATACGCTCAAAGAACTTTTGGGAACGTGAGTATTTTTTTTTAATTTATTTTTTAGATATTTGATAATATTAATAATATTTTTTATAAATAATTTATAGCAAAAAAATGGACAGAAATTTAAAAAAATAAAAAATGAAATTTTTTTTAAATAATTTAGCAGATATTTAATAATTTTCATATTTTTAACAAATAATTTCTGACAGAAATTTAAAAAAATTTTTTTTAAATAATTTTTTGGAGCAAATTTTTATGTTAAAAAATTTTCAAGTGACTGCTAACTTTAGTATTTTTTTTTTTTAGTATAAATAATAAATTCTAAAATAAACACTTTGTGTTTCTTGGTATAAATGCAAGTACCAAATACCAAGTAGCATTGTTACATAAGTTTTTGATAATATTTAAGAAATGATGTAAAAAAATAATATACTGCATAATGTATAGAGACAATAAATTGTGTAATAATATTTTACAGAGGCGCTTTCTCCGAAGTTAGACTCGCTGAGAGCAAGGAGAAACCTGGACAAATGTATGCCGTTAAAATAATAGATAAAAAGGCCCTGAAGGGAAAAGAAGACTCGTTGGAAAACGAAATAAAAGTACTGAGAAGGTAGTAGAGGATTTTTAAAATCCTACGTAAAATAACTTTAAATCTGTATGGCTAACATATGTTTTATTTTTATTTTATCATTTACTCCAAAATCCATTTAAATAATTATTTACTATTACTATTAATTAATTATTCCGCTTGTCAAATATTCTATAGTATTTGTTTTTATTTTCATTTGTTTAATGCATGTAATTATTTTCTAAACTTACGCGCTTAATATTTTATTAATAATACTTCTTATAAAATTAAATTAATTACTTCGCGTCTCGTTATTTATAATGTATATTTTGCACCTGCCTCAGTTATATTTATTTAAATTAATTAATTAAATTAATTATTTAATTTTCAACTCTATTTTCTGTAGAAGTAGAATAGCTCGAATCTTTACAAAAATAACTGCTATGACTCAGTGGCATTTTTCATTATTTACATAAATATATTTATGTTTTTTTTTTTTTTTTTCTATCCGTGAAATGTTGAAATCGTAATTATATCAGTTGCACGTACATACTATATGTACGCGCTTGATATAAAATAAAATAACTTTAAATTTTATTTTAAAAAAGAAAAAAAAACTAACATCGTGACTATTGAATATCGATATCGAAATCATCTCGTATCTTATGTATCATATAACAGCACTCATTGCGTTACTATTATGTATTTTTATTACTTCAAACTCCGATAAAAAAATTTTATATATTTCTGGGTTAAGAAATCCCGTCCAGACAACTATTATAATTATTATTATAGAAATTTTAATTTATCATTATCATTCTGTTATGTCTTTCACCTGTGCATTACCTGTTATACCTGTTTATTTATCGTGAATTTAAATTTTTTAGACGCCTAAGCCCCTATAGGCATGGATAAGTCCTATAAATAATTTATTATTATTATTATTATTATTATAATCACATTTAGTAGTCACTTCCCTTATGTAATTAGAATCACGAATTAAAATTAATTATTGAAAATTTTTTCTACTCTCTAACTACCGAATTAGAGATAATTAATTAAATAGCGAAGGTAGAGACACGGTGGAGAATTTTTTTTAATGTAATTGTGTATGGTGTTATTGTAATTCGTAGGTTCAGTGAAACAGTGACACCACAGAGTGGTGATGGACCGATCAAGTCCAGTAATAGTGGCGAAAGAGGATGGTAAGTGAGGGCCCATTTTTACGGGAATCACCTGCCTATACCACTATTTTAATATTTTATTTATTTATCACAACACATATATTTTTTTGGTAAATATTTACAAGTGGAGTCAACCATTTTTTTTAACTAAATTTCTACTTGATTTTATTGTCATAAATTTCTTTTTAGATACATAAAAAAATTAACAATTAAAAATGACATTAAAATTAGTAGTCACTTAATAAATTTTTTTAATAAATAAATTTTTTCCGAAAAATAATTTTAAAAAAATTGCATTTAAAATTTTTAAATGTCATTTTTATTACCTTAATTTATTTATTAAAATTATTAAAATAGCTATCAAAATCTTTATTTTTTTGTAAATAACTTGTAAATAATTATCATTTTTTTTTAATTAAATCATTTGTCATTATTAATTTAACCATTACACAAATAACAAACGCTCTCGTCATATTTACCGATAAAAAACAATTACCATTGACGTGTGACTATTTGTCGCTTCAAATTAATCTATAAAATTACCTTGATAAATTTTTTTATAATTTTTTATTACATTAATTTTGTTTATTTGATACTGTAAATACAAAAAACAAGTAGAATTTATTGTAAATTATATTATTATAATTATAATTAAAAAAAAAAAAAGTACAGATACAACGCATATAATTACGATAAATGCATGATTCAAAATAAATGTTACAGCGTTATATCATTTAAAATAAATTTTAATTGATCACTCGCTCCGATTCATATGTACTGGGTGTAAGATAATATATTATAAACATTTGATGATAATCTGAATTTATCCATCATGTTTATAGTTTATATTATTATAAGAGTAATGCATCAATAAAATGATTTAATTTTTCTGCATGCTCAAGCACGTAATCAAGACGAATGTTTATTTTTTTTTGCTCACATCGACATTAAGTGAGTTTATAAATTAATATAATATAATATTTATGTTATTTTATACTTATTATCTTTGGATGATTTTATTTGAGAAGCTATCAGTTATCAGAGTACAAACTTGCATTTTTTTAATCAGCTTGCTTGACAATTTCCTCATATTTAACGCTTTGGAGTTTATGTTTTCAATGTTATTGGCTATTTACAATATCTGTTAGTGCATGTAATGCTTTCACAATTTTCTGGTCTATTTTTGTTATCGATTATGCTATTTTTTTATTATTAATAAGATGGTAAGCTAAATAATACAATGTAATGATAATTAAATTAGCCGGCGTTTAATAATTTTTTTTAAAAAGCTATTAATTTTTTTAATTTTAAAAAATTGGCTAATTTAATTTTCATTAAAATGTAATGCTAGAAAAAAAAAAAAAAGAATAGTTTTATGTTAAAAAAAAATCAGAATGAATTTATAGTTTAAAATAATTATCACTAATTAAATTAGTTTTTTTAAAATAATTAATAAATTTTTGTGATTGTTCCAGGCTAACCCACCCAAATATAGTTCAGCTATTGGAAACCTTCGAAGACAAGCACAAAGTTTATCTAGTGATGGAGCTGTAAGTATTTAAAAAGGAATTAATTTGTATTTTTTAATTGATTTATTAATTGCTCGATTGATTGCAGGGTAACCGGAGGAGAATTGTTCGACAGAATCGTCGAGAAAGGTTCTTACACAGAGAAAGACGCGTCTGGACTTATAAGGCAAGTCCTCGAGGCTGTGGATTACATGCACGAGCAAGGCGTCGTACATCGTGATCTCAAACCCGAGAATCTCCTTTACTACAGTCCTGATGAAGACAGTAAAATTATGATAAGCGATTTCGGGCTCTCAAAAATGGAGGACTCTGGAATTATGGCGACGGCTTGTGGAACTCCGGGATATGTCGGTACGGGAAATTTTTTCTACGTCCTCGGGGTTTATTTTTTACGATTATGACGGATGATAACGATGCCGTTAACAATAACGAGGTTGTTTTTACAGCTCCTGAAGTATTGGCGCAAAGGCCGTACGGAAAAGCTGTCGACGTTTGGAGTATAGGAGTAATATCTTATATTTTACTCTGTGGATATCCTCCTTTTTACGACGAAAATGACGCTAATCTGTTTGCTCAAATTCTAAAAGGTACTGCTCGTTGGTGTTGGTAAATAAAAAATTGAAAATTTATAATAATTCTAAAATTAGAAAAATATTAAAATTTTTTTTTTATAATTTTATGGTAATAAAATTATTATAAAAAACGTTTAATAGAAAAATTCCACTTGTGAAAATTTAAAAAATTAGTAATATAAATTATTAGAAATATTTTTTTTTTTTTATTAAAATTTGTTATAAAAATTTAAAAATGTCAGCTTATTTCAGTTATTAATTTAATGACACACAAATTGACAGACATTAAAAATTTTTTTTAATAATTTTATCACAATAAAGTTATCATAAAAAAATTCCACATTTGAAAATTAATAAAAATTGATTGTGGAAATTTTCATTATTTTTTTTTTTTAATTAAAATTGATTTTTTATAGAAATTAAAAAAATTGTCAGCTAATTACAGTATCGTAATTTAATGACACTAAAGTTGACAGGCAAAAAAAATTTTTTTATAATTTTATGACAGTAAAATTACTAATAAAAATTTTTAGGAGCATTTTTTAAATTGTAATTAATTACAAGAATTAAAAAATAATTTTTAATAACATAAAAACTGATAACTTTTGAAATTATGTAACAAACAGCGGATCAACTTTCACTTATATTGATTCTATGCTATAACAATTTTCCATGTATGAGTACAAGCATATATATTTATATATATTAAACATTAAAATACATTTGTGTGTATATAAAATATATGTAAGGAATAATTTAATACCAGTGAAAGCTAATAAGACTGTTACAGGTGAGTTTGAGTTTGATTCGCCTTACTGGGATGACATAAGCGACTCAGCCAAGGATTTTATCCACAAACTTATGTGTGTCAAAGTCGAAGATAGATACACTTGTAAGCAGGCTCTGGCGCATCCATGGTAACTTAACTACATATTGAATCATCCTCATTAATTTTTTTTTTATTTTTTTTTTTCATCTGCAACCTCTAAAAAAAATTTACACTTGTCGTATATCCAGGATATCCGGTAACGCAGCGAGCAATAAGAACATCCATGGTACTGTATCAGAACAACTTAAAAAAAATTTTGCCAAGTCAAGGTGGAAGGTTAGTATTAATTTATTATTAGCGCCGCTGATTGTGGTTGTGTTTACTTACCAGGACCAGTAGTAGGAAAGCCTTCTTGTCTCATGGTTCCAGCAAGCCTACCATGCGGCCACGGTGATACGTCAAATGCAGAGACTGGCACTCAACAGTGGTCAGCACCACCAGCACCAGCAGCAGCAACAGCAGCAGCAGCAGCAGTCCCAGGACATGGAAACGATCGGGTCATCCACCGGCAGTCAAAAGGTCCCACGAACCGAGCCAACCCAGGGCAATCCTATTCGTCCTTATCGAAAGTAAGACAGCACAGTAATAAACTTCAGCAGCGATTGAGATTTAATTATAATAATTCAGTACAATCAACAGCCGAATCAATGTCTAATGCTTGGCGTTCTCAACTGTATTTTCGAAATAATAAACGCTTTCAGCTATTTTGGGCTGATACACGCACTGCACTCATTAATCTCTTCCAAAAAAATGCTAAATCTCTTAAGAAAAAAAACAAACAGTTACGTTGAATTGCATTGAATCTTATTATAATGCTTATTTAGCGGTACTAATGCCAAAAGGGAGTGTAAAAAATTTTTTTTTTTTACAACTAGGGAATATATTAATGTAAAAACGCAAAAAAAAAAAAATTTTAAATTAAAGTTAGCAGTAATTTAATAATTATTTTTTAACAAACAAATTAAAAAAAAAAATTATTTTTAAAAAAATTGCATTTTTAATTTTTTTTAATTTCTACATGTCAATTTTATTTTTTTTTTCATTTTTTTTTGCCAAAACTTATTTGTTAAAAAAATTTAATAAATATCTGCTAAATTAATTTTCATAAATTTTTTTTATTGACACACTTTTGGCTTGTGAAAAAATAATCAAAGTGGCTTCTAAGAACCTTCAAACGTTAAAATCTAATAAAAAAATTATTTAAAAAAAAATTGAACTGAAAAAATGATTAAAATCCAATTTTTGTTAGGAGCTAAAATTTTTTTTTACATTTTTTACTGTTATATATTTTCTAGTTAATTAAAAAAAAATTTTTATACGCCCTTTTGACAATAGTAACGCAATTTATACTCTATAAATTTTATCATCGTTATTACAATTGTTGTTAAAACTATCTCTAGTTTGTTATCAAATAACGCCTTTTTTATTATATTTATTAGTTTTTATTTTTATTTTTTTTACTAGTAACTAGAAACTCCAAATTAATTATATGTAAATAATCATTCCCTCTGAATTAATTAATGGTAATACAACGACGATAGAATCTCTTAGTTACTATCGAATCTGTACGTACTGGTAAGGAAAAAAAAAAAGTTTTATGTATACTTATCAATTTGAACGGTTATATCAATAAGCAACGGGTATAAAGTTTAATAAATTGCAAATAAATAAATATAAATATATATTTAAATAAACATGTGTAATTATTAACTACAATTATACTACATAGAGTCCAGTATGATTTAAGATTTTAAAATAATAAATCCTATTGTAAATCATACTATTTTATTTATGTTAAATATATAGTATACTCATTTATTTACGTTATAATAATTGATAATAAATAATGATGTACATTATTATAAATGCTTAAATATGTATACATAATCTTAATACTTAAAAATTATATGGAGTCATATGTACAGTGGAATTTAATATTAAAACTGTCCAATTGTATATGAATCTTACCAGTTTTATTGCTCTGCAACTTGTTTATCATTTTAAAAATATCTATTAATGTAAATTCTATTAAAAATAAATTTATTCAAATATATATATATATATATATATATATCAATTAAAAATTTAAAATTTGCTAACGGTACTCATCTAAAAAATTTTTTCCAATGTAAATACTATTATTATTATTATTGAAAAAAAAAAATTTATTATTTTTCTCTATTTAAATAATACGGTTTATTTTAATATAATTAATAAAAATAGTAATTACGTAAAATAAAAATTTAATTAATATTTGTAAATTTAGCCAAGCATTCAATTGAGCGATTATTTTAATCAGGTATTTTTTTATTATTATTATTATTATAATTAATTAATATTAATATAATTTTATTTTTAATTAAATACATTTACATTATTATTTTATGTATTTGATTTGCACAAATACACATTAAAATATACATTATACAAAATAAAAATAATTGCAATAGAATGACAAAAGGCCATACATGATTTATATAATTTAAATGTTCAGCTGTTTTTAATATATTGGTGCAAAATAAAAGAAAAAAAAATATGTATAATTTTGTCTTATCAATAAATTTAAATCCTTAAGTCTTTTATCTACACGTTTAAAAAAATCCTTTTAATATTTATGAATAATTGAGATGTGTAGATAAATATATATTACTTCTTGGGAATTTAAATAGCGACTTAATGTTGCATAATAATAATTAAGCATTGTAAGCCGCCAACGCTTCTTCAAGTTTCGAGACAATTTTTTGATAGAAGCCGATCTGCTCAACAAGATGATTTTTCATTGATTGATTGACATGTACGTCAATCTCTGATTGAAAGTGAGTTTCTTCGGCCATGAGAGACCGAGCGATAACGTCCGTGCGACGAGAAAGTTCCCGAAGTTCTTGTGGTTCCATTTTATGCTCTGTTACGAGTCGCTCGCAGTCTTTCTTCTTTTGCATTGCGCTCTATTTAATTTAACAAAAACATAAAACAACTTTTTAATTAATCTAGCTCGTATAAAATAATAATTGATAGATAAGCTAGCAACCTTACAGTCACTATGTAAAGTTATAAATAAAATTTTGCTTTATTAAATAATGACTTTTGTTAAATTGAACTGTATTTTCTTAACTAGTGACATTTTTAAAGATATAAGCTCATCTTGATGTTACACTCATCATGAGCTTTCATTTGAATACCCACATGCATTTTCATATATTTTTCATATATATATATAAAAAATTGATGTGGGTACTCAAATGAAAGGTCTTGATGAGTGTAACATCGGGATGAGCTTATTATATCTTTCAAAATGTCAATAGTTCTCAAGATACAAGGTAATTTCTTAATAATATAAATTAAAATACTAGCAAATAAATACCTTGTGAATAGAAATCACGTCTGGAAAATTATTAATAACCCCGCGATAAATATGAAATTTATCAGCGAGTGGTTCCCAGTCCAGCCGGGGCTGTTCTTCGTACAATCTTCCAATGTCATTGTAAACTTCTCCGGATCTTCTCAGAGCAGTGGTCAGTGTCGAGCGACCTGGACAGTCGGACTCCAAAGCATGACCTAGGGCTATAAAAGATTGTCCTATTTTTTGCAACTCTCGTTTGTACAAATTTTGGTACTTTTTCCCTTGATCCGTTGACATGGCCATGAAGTTTTTGACCACTGGATCCAGTCCGCTGATAAATCGGCTGAATGAATCTATTTTAATGTCAACTTTAATTGCATCAACAGCCATATCACTGCAGTGAATAGCATTGAAATAATTAACTCCCAGCAATTCATCTTTTTCGGCCTGGCGTTTTCCGGCTTTCCATCGCTTCTCATCAGTACACATGATGAAATGCTGCCAGACGCGGCTTCTAGATAAAATAGGATGTCGACATACGTAGTCAACAAATTCCTGCAATTGAGTACGACGATGTTCTATAAATTGTTCGTCATATCTTCCTGAAATTTGTTTGTCAGGAAGCGGAGGAGTCGCTATAAAACAATACTTGGCTTGTAAACGCTCGTGCAACCAGTCAAAATGTTTGTATCTTCTCGAGACTTGGATATTGTTAAACTGGAATAATAAATTACATTGAAATTAGCAGTATTTTTAATGACTCTTGTTCAATTACACTTTACTTTTTTAAATATTGACATTTTTAAAGATATAAGCTCATACCGGTGTTACAATCATCAAGACCTTTCATTTGAGTATCCACATCAATTTTTCATATATATCTATATATATTATATATTATATGTATATATGAAAAATATATGAAAAGTGCATGTGGGTACTCAAATGAAAGGTCTTGATGAGTGTAACGTCAGGATGAGCTTATATCTTTAAAAATGTCAATGGTTCACGAAATACAAGGTCATTTGTTAATTATGTATCTAGAGATAGAGCATTATTAATTTAAATATAAGCTAAATTAATTTTCATAAAATTATAACATTCAAGTTAGCAGTCACTTGATCATTTTTAATTTAATTTAACAAAAAATTTCTCTCTTAATTTTTAAAAATTTCTAGATGTAATTTTTTTTCCCATCATTTATTTATTATAAAATTATTAAACACATGCTAAATAAAATTTCATAATAATAAATGTAAATTTATGAGACATAAAATTAAGGCTAATTCCAAGCGTTGAATTAATAACAATAAAAAATAATTACCGTAGGTGTGAGCTGATAAACAATAAAACTTTTAAGGCCTTTTAATTTGGATCCTTTCTTTGGTGATGTCACAACACACTTGTACTCCTCTCCGGTCGGCAACCAGTAGCACCTTCCGTCCTCTGTCTCTTGAACAAATATCTTCTCGTCTTCAGGAATAGGCAGCACCTTGGTGCCCATCAAAAATCCCTCCTCCCCGGACTTTATAAGCGTCGAGAATTTGTTGTTTTTCTTGGGGACATTTGAAACAGTTTTCTCTGGCAAAGCTGGCAGAGCGTGAGCAGTAGGCGGAGAGATAAAATTATTCGATATTGGTCCGCTTATGTCATCCAGGTTCGAGTATTGCTGCGACTGTTGCTGAGGATTGTACGCTGGAGTTTGACCTACCTCTGAATCATCGTCCCAGTCATCGTCCCAATAGTCGCCGGAACTTTGCTGGACCGAGGACAGTGACGACACTGTCGCTGATGTCGTTGCTCCGGTTACTCCGGTTGGCTCTATTACCTGGACATACGCCGCTGGGAATAATCCAGACTGGCCCATGCTGTTAAAACCCTCGCACCAGCCATCGCCGACATTGTCACGAGTTACTGTTAATATTTCACCAGCTGTTATTGATAGTTCCGCTGTGCCAGGTTCTCCAGAGAAATCATACACAGCTCTAACCTTAAATTTATAATAATTAACTTTAATAACAATTACAATAAATAATTGCATTAAAATTAGCAGCTATTTAACCATTTTTCAATTTTTTTTAACAAATAAATTTTTTCCAAAAAATTATTTTTAAAAAATTGCATTTTTTATTTTTTTTAAATCTTCCACATGTTAATTTTTTTTGCCATAATTTATTTGTTTAAATAATTATCAAATATCTGCTAAATTAATTTTCATCAATAAGTAAAAATACTCAAAAAAAAAAAAATTTTTATTTTTTAACAAAAATTATTTTTAAAAAATTGCATTTTTTATTTTTTTAAATTTCCACATGTTAATTTTTTTTTTTTTTTTTTTAACAATAATTTATTTGTTAAAAAAAATTACTAAATTAATTTTTATTAATAAATAAAAATACTCCAAAAAAAAAAGTTTTTTTTTAACAAATTATTTTTTAAAAAAATTGCATTTTTTAGTTTTTTTAAAAATTTCCACATGTCAATTTTTTTTGAAAATTTATTTGTTAAAAATAATGAAATTAATTTAAAAACTTACCTGTTTATTTTCCATAATTTATTTTTTTTTTTTTTTTCTAAAAATCTATTCCAGTCATTTAATAAAGCTCCGCCCGATTTCTTGTTGCTGTTTAATAATTCCAATAAATAATTACAGCGATACAATCAATTTCTGGGTATATAACAATTTAAAAACATGACAAAGAAACAAAACGACATATCAATTCTGTTGATTAAATATATATAACCTTATGAGCTTTTAAAATATACATACAAAAAATTAGCAAGTATATTTTATAAACTTTAATCACGTTATCGAAAATATTAATTAAATTTACAATTAATAATAATTAGCGTGTTGTGTACTTGTGTTAGATGTAATATAATGTGCAATATGAAATGACACGTACGTACTTATTTACACACACCAAAAATTACTGCTACTGCTACTGTTACTGTATCTACATGTAAGTATATTTATATATATATATATCACTTATCATTACTCGAGTCTCAACAAGTACCCGAGCACTACTCTCAGTGTATTGGGTATTGCTCATACACATCTGGATGAATTTTTATGAATAAGCATAATATAACCTAAACTCCAAATACTATCAGCTCAGCTGACACATGAGTTGTCTACTATTCCTATACTGAAATATTTAAATACACACTGTACTTGAACACGCTGTAATATATACTATCGTACTCACGTTTTATCACAAAGATATTATTTATTTTACAGCAACAATGATTTCTCTGCGTTGTAAATTGTTTAAAAGCCAATTTTCAAATTTAAAGGTGAAAAAACTCAGCAGTCTAACACAAGAAGTTGTTGAAAAAGAAACAACGCTCCAAAAATGGGGTAATTATTTTTTACAACAATATATTATTAATAAATTAATAGACATTTGTCAATTTTTTATTTTTTTTTTTTTAATCAATAAAAATTATAAGTAAAAAAATATTAAAAAAAAAAATTGCACTTAAAATTTTTCTAATTTTCTACATGTCAAATTTTTTTTTAATTTTAATTTTTATATTATTTAATGACACTAAAGTTGACAGATATTAAAAATTTTTTTAGAATTTTATAGAAATTAAATTATTATAAAAAAAATTTAATTAAAAAGTTAAGTTCCACATGTGAAAATTAAAAAAAATTACAAGTAAAAATTTTTAGAAGCATTTTTTTATTGTTAAAAAATTTTTTTAAATTGACAGCTGACGACTAACTTCAGTTTTATTTTATTTAACTAAAAAATTTATTTTAAAAAATTGTATTTTTTATTTTTTTCTAATTTCTACATGTCAATTTTTTTTTTTTGCCATTATTTATTCATTAAAAAAATGATTAAATATCTGCTAAATTAATTTTCATCCAAAAAACTTTATAAAAAATTTGTACTTATAATTTTTTTTTTATTATAATTAACTTATTAAAAAACTAAAAAAATTTTAAATGTCTGCTAAATTCAGTATCATTACTAATAATTTAATTTAGATTGAATGAATTAAATAATTTTTGTTATTATTTTAGGTAAACATTGGAAAGGTGTGTATCAAGATTACAAGGACGTAGCGATTGATTTAAAAAAAAATTGCAAGGAGCGACCAATCAGTGCATTAATAAAACTAGCAAGTAAGAAAAAAAAGTAGTAGGATAATAAATAATAAAGGATTAGTATTGATTAATCGGTTTGTTACAGTGATGGGCGGCTGCTATTATTTATATCGCACCAACCCAGACCAAGCTTCATTCAAAGAAGCGTTACTGCAAAACGAGGCGCGCCTGACATTTATCGGTGAAAGTATACGTAACCCTGTGTCTGTAAAGCACGTGGAGCACATGAGTGAATGTTTAAATGAGAATATCATAAGGAGGTTAACTTTGGGTCTAGTGTCATTTATTTGGTTGGACAATTACAGTGATAGTTGTGCGCTATATAAAACAACGTGCACCTATTTGAAGCCAAAGTATCTTGAATTCCACCAGAGGATAGTTGACGTGGGCTTCCTCGGGAAGTGGTGGGTCTTAGACCATAAAATGAAAGATTATGATATAAATGATAGCGAGTTTCAATAAAAAATATAGAGTTTCATTCATTTTATCACAAAGTCAAAGGTCTCAGGCACCTGGATTAAGATTCTGAAAATAAATATATTTAATTAATAAATAAATCATTAATTGTGATAATAATTACATACCTCGAGCGTAAACAATCGCCGTACGACATGGAATATAAATTAAAATTCTATGAGGTCTATCAGCGTAAGGTTCAGGCTTTGAAAAATGCGGGACTGAATTGTCGACTCTCATTTCACCTCCAAAATCTTTGTCATCGCTGTTAAGCATTATTTTATAAGTCCCCGCTTCAGGAACTCCAATAGTGTAGTCAGCAAATGACTTAGTTGGGTGGAAATTAAAAACAAACACAACTCCTGCACGATCAAAAACTATTATTTTGTCATCCTCGTGCTTCCAACTGACGTAAGCCTGTCAATAAATAAATTAAACAATAAGTAAGTCAATAAAACGAGCAAATAAAAATAAATCTTACAGGATTAGCATTTAACCAGCCGTATTTATCTTCGAGCCAATTCATTTCACGGTCAAAATTGTTCATGAATTTGTACTTCAACATTTCATCGTCGACGAGGTGCCATTGGCGTCTAGCATAGTGGAAACTGCTGTTATTCCCAGCTCGAGGAAAGTCCAGCCACTCAGGATGGCCAAATTCATTTCCCATGAAGTTGAGATAAGCTTCACCACCAAGTCCATGGGTGATAAGTCTTATCATGTTATGAAGCGCAATACCACGTGTGATTATCGGATTAGGCGGGCTTAGCACGCTCATCGACGTGTACATTTCCTTATCCATGAGCCAAAAGGCTATCGTTTTATCTCCAACTAGGGCCTGGTCATGTGATTCGCAATAAGCGACAGTCTTCTCCATCCATCGGCGATTTATCAACACCCAGCATAGGTCATTCATGTTCCAATCTTCGTCTTTTTCATGTTTTAGAATTTTAATCCATTTGTCGGGTATTGCCATACCTAGTCGATAATCAAAACCAATCCCTCCTTCATCCACTGGCCTTTAGGGATTAATTATTAAAATATAAGCAATTAAAAAATAAAATTATTTATGATACTGAAGTTAGCTGACAACTATCAATTTTTTTTTTTTTAATTTTTATAACAAATAATCAATAATAATAAAAAAATTTTCATCAACAATTGTTTTTAATTTTTACAATTGCTAAAAAATTCTAAAAAAATTTCTAACGTCTTTCAACTTCAATGTTATAATTATTTAATATTTTACTTTAAGTTATCTAGAGATTTTAATTACCTACACATCCCGGGCATACCACTCACGTCTTCCGCGATAGTAATTATCTCGGGGTATAATTCATGAAGCATATGATTTGCAAGCATTAAATATACAATACCCTCGACGTCGACATTTAAATTAAAATATTCCTCGTAATGACCAGTGAAACCTTGTCCCATTCCTCGAGAATGATAGAGCATTGATGTCACGCCGTCAAACCTGCAATTATTTTTTTTTTTTAATACAAACATAGTCTACTATTTTAAAGACATATCATATATATATATATATTTAAATGATTACCTAAATCCATCAAAACGGTACTCTTCCATGTACCACCTCAGGTTTGACATCAAAAATTTAAGGACATCGTAGTCGCCGTAGTTGAAAAGTCTGCTGTCCCAAAGAGGATGCTCGCCGCGAGATCCAGAGTGGAAGAAACACGCGTCAGTGCCGTCAAACATATTCAATCCATCAAGAGTATTTTTTGACGCATGTGAATGGACCAGGTCCAGGAGGACAGTGATTCCATTCTTGTGAGCTACGTCTACCAGCTCTTTTAGCTCGTCTGGTGTTCCATAGCGAGATGACACGGCGTAGAATGATGTGACCTTTTGATAAAATTTTTAATTTAGTATGCTGACTTAATTAATTAAAAACTTATTAATAATCCTAGACTTAATTCTTCATTGCGTTTGTTATTTGTCTGGTGGAATAATATTCACCTGGTAGCCAAAGCTTGCGTAATAAGCATGCTCCATCACAGCCATCAATTGGATGGCATTGTACCCTTGCTTTACAATCCTTGGAATAATATTCTTAGCGAACTCTAGGTACGTTCCAACACGGTGTTCATTTGTCGCTATTCCTACATGGCATTCGTAAATTCGCAAGCTTTTAGGCTTCTTTGGATTCGGGTGTTGCCATTTGTAAACCTGGATGATAAAAATGAATTAATTTTTTTTTTTTTATTATCACAAAGTTCATTAAATATAAATTGATAAGTAATTATTTTTAGCCGTGCAAAACAAAATTTAAGAGTAAATAAATCAACCTTATTAGCATCGGGATGATACACGCGCTGTTTATAAGTTGTTCCTTCGGTTATTTGATTCTCTGGTTGAGTGACATAGTGAGCCCAAGGACTCAGCCGTTCAAATAATTCTCCTCTGTTATTTTCAACAATTATTTTTATTTCTGACAGGTGTTTCAGGGGACAAGATCCGTCTTGATTTGCCGGCAAACGCAGCTCCCACTTTCCGTACTCCAATTTTGTGAATGGCGTGCTTGTTTTGTTCCAATTGTCTTAGTATTAAAATTAAATTAAATTATTCTTTTATTTTAATTGAAATTAAATTATTTTAGCGAAGTTATATTTAACAATTATTTAATTATTAATTAAAATTCTTACTGAAGTCACCGGTGAGGTACAATTTGTGCGCACTTGGCGCCCATTCACGAGCTAGGACTCCATTATTCTTATCAATTATTATACCAAAGTTTTCATACCCCCGGGTGAATTGATCCAGATTGTTATCTCCTTTATTTATCTTCTCCAAGTATTCCTTGAAAATACCGTATCTGAAAAAAAAATTAATTGACATTTAAAAAGTTTTAGAATTTTTTTTTTTAAATAATTATTATTAAGAAAATAAAAACTCCACGTCTACAAATTTTAAGAAACTGTGTAGATGGAATTTTTTAAAATTTTTATTTAGTGCGGCTTAATTTATAAATGTCAGCTGATTTTAATAAAACTATTTTTTAAAAAGAAAAATAAATTTTTACCTTCTACGAATATCATGTTCATGGAGATTTAAATATGGATCACGTTCCAATAACGCGTCGATCTTCGGGACGTCAATCTTCATCGGATCCATGCTAGACCAAGTGCCACCCATTTCAGAAAAAAAAATATAGTTTTCTATTTACTGTAGTAAAGAAAAGTTATAAATAAAATGTCTGCTATTAATAACTTGTCACTGAGAGGGAAAAGCTGTAATGATGTTTTAAGAAGCTAGTTCAGCTCCAAAAATTTATCAATGTCATTCAAAGGTCATCTCTAATATTACATAAATAATAATAATAATCTTAATTCGCAATTCTCTCCTCTCATTCTTAATTGTATCATGTTTTGGTCACGTGACTCTTCTCAGTTTCTCAGTTTCAGTTGCTACGAGAATGAGAGTAAAATTATAACCTTATTTTTTGTTTATTTTGAATTTTGCCGGTCAGCTGATTTGTGTGTACTATAGATATAAGTAAAACAAACTGAAGTTTACAGAGATTATAATTTTTTTATTAATTAAATTAATATGAAAAAAAAAATTTAATAAATTAATTCTACAAGTGAAATTAAAAAAAAAATTAATTGTGTAAATTTTTAGAACCTTTTTTTTGTTGTGATTAAATTTTTTTTTAATTAAAAAAAATGACAGCTGTCAGCTAACTTCAGTATTATACAAATAAAACAATCAAATTGTTGGATTTAAATTAATTAACATAAAAAATGATGAGAATAAATGTTAAGAGAAAAAAACCTAATGAATTATTTGAGCAGTGGCTAGAAGAATGGAGAGATCAGGCAAAAATAAAAAAGTCTAACTTAGAAGATCATTTTTCAAGAGCTTTAGTGTCATTAAAAAAATACCCGCTACCGCTGGCTTCTGGAGCTGATTGTATTTTATTGCAGAATTTTGGCTTTAAATTATGCAAGATGTTGGACAAAAAATTGGAAGAACATTCTGGTACGGACAAAATTTCTAGTCAAGATAAAATAGACAAAGTAATTCCTAGGAAAGAAAAATGTCCTGAACCGGCAAAACCTAGAGCTAAAAAGAAACCAGCGAAGCAACTGAAACTGTTTGAAGAGCTAGAAAAGCCGGAGACTTCAAGTGCAATTGATAATTTTTCTATGCTACCCCAGACTTTTGATGTTATTTTGTTGGTGGATAATAATGAGAAAATTACAAGGTATTTTTTTTAATCATTTGTTTTTATTATTTAGATCAGCAAGTTGATTGTTATTTTGTTTTAGTTGTTCTTTGGATAAAAATAGTGGGAAGGTACTGTATGAAGTGAGACATCTCAAGGTTGGAGACTTTGCCTGGATTGCTAGGTGTCGAGAGACTAAGAAGGAGTTGGTTCTTCCTTATATTGTTGAGAGGAAGAGAATGGATGACTTGGGAGCTAGTATCAAGGACAGAAGATACCATGAGCAAAAAGTATTTTTTTTTTTTACAAAAATTATGAGACGTTTAATAATTTTTTTAAACAAATCGTTGCAAGAAAAATTTATTTAAAAAAATTTTTAAGTCTAAAAAATTATAAATGCAATTTTTTAAAAATTAAAAAATTGTCTGCTAATTTTAGTGATATAAAAGTTATTTATATAATTTTTATTAATTATTTCTATTTATATTATTAATTATAAATTATTTATATAATTTTTTTTTGCAGTTTCGATTAAAAAAATGCGGAGTTGATAATGTTATTTATTTAATTGAAGGACTCAGTAAATCACGCCAGCAATATATAATGCCAATGCCGGTCTTACTACAAGCAGCAGTAAACTCATTGGTGCAAAATGGATTTACTGTTAAGTTTACTAATAATCAGAAAGATTCATTGAACTATCTGACAGGTTTGACTGCAGCTCTGACTCAGCTTTTCAATGTAATTTATTTTTACCCACACAATTATATTCATTAAAAAATCATTTATTTTAATTTAATAATTTATTTTCAGGATAAACATTTAGAGAAGTGTTCTAAAGAAAATATTCCTTCTTGTTGTCTGTCGGATGACAAGATATTTCTGATGGAATTTACCGAATTCAATCAGTCTTCTTCAAAATCAAAGGTTGATAATTATTGCAAGTAAATAATAGCATCCAATTCCAAACAAAAATTAATTTCAAGTGTATTTACAGATCCACAGTGTGAAAGAAATGTTTGTGCGTCAATTACTTCAATTAAAAGGTCTGTCAGTAGAACGAGCTCTCGCAATTGTTCAAGTTTACCCAACTCCATATTTATTGAAGGAAGCATTCACCAAAGCGGGTACTGACGGCGACAAACTATTAGCAAATTTAACATTCGGACGAGTAGGTCGTAAAATGGGGCCAGTATTATCGCAAATATTATATAAATTATATACCAGTGATCAACTTGAGTAGGTAGAAAGTCAATTAAATAAAAAATAACTAAATAATCTATAAATAATATATTTAACATTTTTTATACAATGTATTAAAATTTAATTGAAAATTTGTTATAAGATAAAAAAATAAATGAAAATAAAGACTCTATTTACAGAAACTAAGTGACCTTATCACCAGAATTATCGGAAGCATTACTCTCTTTATCATAACTGTGTGCTCTAGCGAGACTAGTCGAGCTGAGCATAATAGAAATTTGTTCCGGCAAAGGACAAGCAATCAGCAGCAACTGTTCTCCATCAAAAGTGCTCTGCAATAATTGATACAATTGTGTATAAACACCCACGACATTATTGCGAATGGGCCTGAATAAAATAAACTCAGTCTCGCGATTAGCCAAGTACAATTGCATTGACTGCTGGATACTCGGCAGCCTGAACTTGATGAACCTCAACGATTCATTGACAGTCGCCGCAATTTTCTGCGGATCATTCCACTGGTCACCACCTTGGACATTCTCAACATTGGAGACTAATTTAGAAGCCTTGGCTTTCTCCAACAGAGTAGTAATAGGCTCAACAAGTAACCTAGTGACATGTTGGATGAACTGCTGGCACGAAAGCTTCAATTTAACATCCACGTGCTTGCGAGAGTCAACTAAATGTTCCTTCATTCTCGGAGCGCCTTCTAGAAAAAATTCCAACAAAGCATTGTTAGAGAGCGTAAAAAGCCTGGATCTTTTTTCAAGCAGCCCATAGGCTGCCGTCTTAACCTGAGAAAAGTCTAAAGAATATTCCTTGACTGTAAAGTCGACTTGAAAGGGAGCAATTTGCTCCCTAAGAATTAGCAAGTGTTTTATTTGGAATAATTGCCCATCAAGCTCCGTAGCTCTAGAGGTAATTTTATCTCTGGCGCTTTCAATGCTCTCAACGCAGAGCGTTATTGCCTCGCGACTGAGCGACTGAAAAACCGGCCGATCAACACATCTGTACAGCCTAGATAGACAGACAAGAGTTCTACGAACAGTAGGGTACCACATGCCGTGCATATCAGCGGGTGAATTATTAAGCCCGCTTTTTTTAGCCATCGGATCAAAGGAACTGATCTGGCTGCTTCTAGCATCTGAACTCATATAATCATGGTTCATAGTAGCAGCAGCGTTGCTGTACTTCCTTTGCCTAGTCTCTTCCCTCAGCGTCTCTGCTATATCCTCCATCATTTTTAATTTCTCCGGATAAGCCAAGTCTCCAGGTGATGGATTATAACCCACGACGTCTGATTGAAGATAAAGATGAGCTCTAAACACCAGGCGCTCTTGCGCGTCATGAAGAAGCTGAAGACAAATATTACCAAAGCCTTCCAAGCACTCGCTGTTGTTCTGCACGTGTTCCTCCAGCATTTCTATCCTTAAGATGCAACAAATTTCTGCTAGAGTTTCTAGATGATTTATGTGGATAATAGAAGGCCTCAAAGTGTCATACAACGCGTTGCACAAGCCTTCTAAATAATCACTGAGCCCAGTGGACTTAACTGAAAAAAATTGATAAAATAATCTGTACTCGTCGATAGAAGCGTGCAGCAAAAGAGCACACGCTTGTCTCACCAGACTGCAGTGATCTCCTTTGTAAGAATCTTTTATAGAAAGCAGTCCTTTGCGCACGCTGGTGTCCAACACCAGTCCTCGCTTCATTAAATAGTACTGCTGACATTCATTTAATAAATTTTCGTAGTCTCTGTTTGTAGCTGAGCGCTTCTCGATTAAATCAATAATTAATTTAATTTTAGGCAGAATTCTTTGGAACCTTCCGTAGAATAAAGCTAGAGCTGTGTCAGCTGACCCGAGAACTTTATTTATGTCGTCTTCTTTAAGATTGCTGGTCAGTTCGCTGGGATTTAAAATACTGTCGGTGGCTTGGTCCAGCAGGTCGTGGATCCACTGCTGCATCATGCTGATTACTTTGGATTGACAGTGGCGGTATTTTATTAAATAAGTCTTAGCCTCCTTGAAGCTGATGTTTGTCTCCATGAAGTCTATGTTGGTGTCTATTGTGTTGGTCAGTTGCATGAAAACGTCACTACGCACTGACAAGTTCACCATTTCTAGTTTGTCCATTATAAAGTGGGCTTCTTTAAAGTACTTTACGTAGTTTACTATGTTGTTGTAAGTGCTGGTTAATTTCTCCTGCTCGGAGATCAGTTGCTCCGTTGCGTTGTGGAGTGTCATTGTCTTGACGGATACAATTGCATATTGTTTTGATAGCAAGGAAAAATCTTCTAAAGCTTGCTCGATAAGCGTACACAGGCCGTGGCACTCATCGGTGCGCTGCTTTAATTGTTCAAGGTAATTAAAGTATCTAGAACACTTTGCTGCGTCGTAATTAGCTTCCAATACTCCGTAATGACTGAGCAATTGTCTGTACGCCTCAATTTTTTCCTCGGTTTTTTCAGTGTCTTTTTCGGAAATTTGTAAATTATTATTGTCATTATTACTACTTACTATGTCTAATTGCAATACAGCTTCTTCTAAATTATTTATTTTATCTTTTTGCAGCTGTGATAAAGGAGCTAGGCCGTTTTCCGGCGAGTCCCATTTGGTTAAATTTAGAGAAATGTTATCCATATTTATTTATATTGTCAACCATTAAAAGTTTACCTGAAATTACACATTTATTTTAATTAAATAATTTTAAATTAATAATTGTAGTTTTAAATATTTACCAGGTAATTATTTGGTTATGTCATTTTATTTATTTATTATTACATATTACTTTTTTTTACTGACACGTCAAAATTGTTACTGCCTATAGTTAAGGCGATTTTCAATTACTAAAATTAAAACTTTTTACTATAGTACTATAGTACTATATAAATATACATTGAAGATAACACTGACATTAATTTTTTTATTAATTTATAACAATTAAACAATTATTAAAAATTAAAAAAAAATTATTAGAAATTTTTTAAAACAATTTTTTTTTTGTAATTAATTTGTTATAAAAATTTTTAAAATTGACAGCTGATAGCTAACTTCAGTATTATAATATATATATTATTTGTAATTTATCATTGTTTTAATTTAATTGTTTATAAATAATGCAAAACAATATTTTTCACTCATTAAATGGCTACTTTTTTAATCTAATAATATTTTATTTTGAATAAAATAATTAATGTCAATTTTTATAATAATTATATGAATAAATATATATTTTTGCATCAAAAAATTAGATCTGACAACGTCGCCTTAAGCACTTGCATATAGTAAGCTAAAAATTTAAAATTTCCGCTCTTTATTATACACATATTTGTGCACTCAGTGTTGCCAAGTTTTATTTACCATAAAAAAATAACAACGTGTCAATTACTTTTTTTTGACATATTTTTATGTCATATTATCAGCTGATCATCTGTAAATTACACAACAATAAGTATTAGTAATTAAATAATTTTACGCTTCAATCCAGGTCATTATCACTAATGTAATTACAAAGAATTTCATCGAAAAAATAAAATTTTAATTCAATTTTGACAATTACCAACCTCAAAGTATGTTGATTGTCCCGTCAATAGCTAGTGTGCTAAATTCCCCAGAATCTCATCTATTAATACTGTATGTGTACATGAATTTGGCTATGTTTACAGTAAAATTTATTATTATTGTATTATTTTATTATACAGTTTCCTTTTCCTTATAGAACATACACAGATTCTAGATATTACTATTCTAATGAGCAAAGCAATAAAATTTTGTAATAAACTTTTTTTAGGTTAGACTGAAATGTTGATTTGATAATATTCGAGGAGAAATAAATTAACATTTATAATTAATAGCATTGCAGTCAACATAATATATGTGATTAGTGTTTGTGCTAACAAGATAAACTAAATATTTACATACATCAACAACAATCACCAATACTTGGTGTTGTTTCTAACTGAAATAGATTGGACTTATCGGTGTACGAATTATCAATAATTAACCAAGTTAATAAGTGAATTTTTAACAATTGCCATCATGAATAGCAAAAAACGCCGAAGAAAATCTGCTTTTAGCCAAGAATCAGCGGACTCTGATTTTCAATCAAGTTGTAATTATTTTTCATTCATTTATTTATTTATTTATTTATTAATTTATAATTGTTGTGTATTAATAATGGGATTTAATTTTTCTTTTTTTTTTAGCGAAAGACAATTCTAATCCTGGCAATAATGGACAGTCCAGTAATTCACTTACTAATTTATTAAAACAGTACAATTCTGATAGCGATGACCAAGATGATACACCTCCAGAAAATAAACATCGTCTTGATGATAAAGTTAATGACTTTTTTAAGGTAATTTCATTGAATAATTATTAATACTAAAATTGAGAAACATTTAATAATTTTTATAATTTCTTAAAAATATTAATTGAATTTTTCTTTTAATTATTAATAAATAATAAATTATATTACAGGAAATTCAATTTATTACTCAAAATACTCAAGAATCTCAATCAAATGATAGCTCAAAAAAAGATTCCACCCAAACTTCTTCGAGTAAAGAACGAGTATCGGCTTCACGTAAGTAAAATTAAATTTTTCTATTAATACTAATGTTTTAATTTAATATTGAATACTTAATAATTAATAAAAAAAAAATTAACAGCATGGCAAGAATGTTTTGATGAGTCTACTGGGTATCCTTACTACTGGCACATTGAAACTAATGAAGTGACTTGGGAATTGCCAAAAGAGCTTGCATCAACTCGCAAAAACTCGGACAATATTGTCCCTCAACACCAACTACAACACCAACCTAATCGTTTGCCCAAACTACCTTACGACAAATTACCGTCTAAAGTCAAAAACGACCTATCAGCCCGGAACAAAAGTAGGCATAAAAGTGGTACTGATAATACAGGTAGCTCTAAGCGTACCTTGCCTAAGAAAAAATCTAAACAGACGTTTGAAGACAAAAATGATGACTCTGATGACAGGTATTAAAAATAAATCAATATATTTATTTATTAAATTGACAATTTTATAAATGTTTTTTTTTTTTATTTTTAGTTACATTGAAATGATTACGTCGTTTGGTGACGATAATACGGACACTGATAAAAGTGACGACGAAAAAACACCCGACGAGTCATGGGTAAATACTAAACTTACAAATAAATATTTAAATAACTTAATATTTAATAACAATTGTATTTTTTTTAGACACTCAATAAATCAATAAAACGCGAGCGCGAGCGTGAAGCGTTAGAAAGCAGGGTTAGCAATGATACTCGCGACGAAGAGAGTAGCAAAGAGTCCAATAGAGAAACCAGTATAAACAACTCAATTGTTGATCAAAGCAACGAAGAAAATTCATTTAATAAAAAGCCAGCAGCTGCTTTATTCCCAGCTGCTGTAACTAAGAGTTGGTTTGTTGATGGCAATCCAAAAGTAGACACCACTGTTGATCAGGAATTTTCCCAAGCCACAGATTCGCAGGATACTGACAAAATAGAACCCCCAAAATTATCCCGGCCTTTAGAAAATTTAGGGACCTCTTTAAAGGGATTCCAGCGAAAAAGGCGGATAGCGTACGATGTGTTGACGATACCTAAAAATAACGAGGACCGACTTGGTCTAGGCTTCGCTAAAACACCTCCCATAGAAAATTCCTCCAAGGAAACAGCTGAGGAGCGAAAGCGTAACTTGGGAAAATACGCGATTGATTTTATCAAAGGCGAGACGTTAGAAACCAATGAAGCAACTCCGGATTACTTTATGCCGGGTGATCAGGTGCAAATGATTGCCGATAAATTAAAAAGTTTGTCTAAAGAATGCTCGACGGTGTCCGAGATCCAGGTGATGAGCATTCAAATTCAAGCTTTGATGACCGCGTGGGAGTCTGGTGATCTAAAGGATCGCTATTTTTATAATTGGATGGCTGAGACGAAAAAAAAGCTGACTTTGTTGGAGGAAAAGGCTGCGCCGGCTGAGTGGGACTATCAGTGGGACTCTGCTAATAAACAGTACTTTTATCGAAATAAGATTAGCGGAGAAACTCAGGTGAATTATCCGGATATTAATGGCGGGGCTGAGGAGATGGAATTGTGTACTACGCCTCCGCCTGCCAACTCTCCGATCTCTGAAATAAAATCTATTGAAATTATTAAGGATGATATGACCCAGACAAAGTCGCTCAGCAATGATAATATCAATAGAGTTAATGTAAATAGCCACGTGGATTTGGAAAAAAGCGACAAGTCTAGCTCCTCTGTTAGCTTGGGTGGTGATCCAGACAATAATAAAGAAGATGGAGAATTAGCTGCACCGTTGCCTCCTAGAATATCTATTCCTAGTCCGCCACCTCCGCCGAGAATAGGAGCGCAGGATTTGAAAAAGAATTCCAAGATTAATAAGAGTAATAATGACTGTCTAAATTCTGGGACTATTGACCAAAATGAAGTTAAAAATCATATTATAGTGGAGAGTATTGTAGCGCCGGTTCGTGAAACTCTGCTGACTCCTGCGACCCAAATACTGGCTGCGTCTGTGAATCCTCCGCACATAGAACCGCTTCCTCCGGGAGTGGATCAGTCGGAGAGCCCCTACGCATTAGCAGCAGCAACTCTTAAATCTCCGTTGATTTTTCCCGGGAATCATCATCAGCCCAATACTACAATATTTGATCCCACGAATATTTCTATACTGGGACACCACCATCCGGCACTGGTTCACAATCAACTTGTTCATTATCCGGTTTATCACCAGCACTTGCACGATCAAGCGATTCTCGCGGCTGCTAACAGATTTACCGGGCAAGAAGCTGTGCAACTAATGCTTCATCATACGGGTATTTACGCAAATACCCAGGTGATTACTAAACCTCCTATTAATATGAAAAAAGAATCACTTGGATCGATTGTTGATTCTTTTTACAATGATATTGCTTCTTTGGAGTGCCATAATAATGTTATAAATGATAAACAAATAAAACAAGTTGCAGTTCCGTCAATGAAATATCAAGAGTCGGTGGATAAAACGGAATCCATTTCGACGAATATCTCTACGACTATTACCACCGCTGCGACTACCACTGGAACAGGCTCTGCTCCTTCGGTTTCTATTCCTGTAGCTACTGCTGCTAATAGTACGGCAAGTACGACGACTACTAATTCTGGGGGTGTAATTACGGCAAATAATGCAACGGCTAATACTCCTGTTGATCTTAAAGATAAAAAAAAGAAAAAAGTAAGTTTATTTATTTATTACTTTTTAACAAAAAAATTATTTTTAAAAAATTGGATTTTTAATTTTTTTTAATTTCTATGTCAATTTTTTTTCTTATAATTTTTTTTGCGATAATTTAATTAAAAAAATTATTAAATAGCTGCTAAATTAATTTTCATTTTATACGGCATTGAAATTAGCAGTTATTTTATCATTTTTTATTTTTTTTTAACAAAAAAATTTTTTAAAAATTGCATTATTAATTTTTTTAAATTTCAATGTTAATTTTTTTTTACCATAATTTAATTAAAAAAATAATTAAATATTTCCTAAATTAATTTTCATATTTTTTTGTTACAGGTAAAGATTGTTATTAATAAAAAACATAAACAAGTTTCAAGCATGGTCGCCAAGTGGAAAAAAGCACAGAATTTTGAGGACATTCATTAATTGTTTATACTGAATGTATAATGAATTTATTTATTGTAAATTATTAACTATCGTTTAAACGAGAATTTTTACTTGTTAGTTAAAAAAAAAAAAAAAAAAAGCGATTTATCTGCTTGGATAACATATGTAAAGTTATAAATTAAGTAATCTGAAACTTTTACAAATTATACTTGTATAATAAATTAATAATTAATTGTCTAGGTAAATATTTTATAAAAATTTTAAATATTAGTCGCAAAGTAGGATTTATTATAATGTAAAAAAAACTTCCTTATAAAATTATAAATAATTTTTAGTCAAAAAACAAAATAATATTTACTCTTGATATTTTTATTTATCAAATATAAATATAAATAACAATAAAATAGTACTTTTTAATGAGTTTAAACAATTATTTAAAATTTATCACTTCATTTTAGTAATAAAATCGATTAAATTTATTTTGTTTACAAAATGTCTAACGCGCAACTCCGGAAATGACATATTTGACATATTTCATAGTGCTGCCGCCTGCCGTCAAAAAAACAAGTTAAATTTTATTTAATAAAAAAAAAAAAAGAAGTATTTTACATAATTAAATACTTGCTTAGATATTTATCAGTGTACTGAGTAAAGAATTGATAATAAAAAAGTGATGATTGATAAGAAGGCAATTAAATAATTAAATAAAACAAGTAAATATTTAAACTAAATAAAATTAGTAACTAGCTTGACTAAAATAGATGCCGCGATAGTTTATGTTGCCATCTTAAAGAGAATAAATATTGCAACGTCGCAATTTAGCGTCTGGTGAGTGAGTAGCAAGTAACCAAGATGTCTGAAAATTGGGTAGAACAAGTTAGCGTACCTATTGACTGTCATTACGACTTGTAATTTATTTTAAGACATATTTATTCACCAGTTACAACTGTACGTGCGTAATTAAATTTATCTCTCCATTAATAATAAATTACGCTTGTTACTAAAACGTTTTATAAGTCTACAGTGGTTGTGTAGTTTATTTTATTTTATTTTTTATTTTTCCATTTTTATTTTATGTTTCTGTTCAGTTTACATTACAAGAAAAATTATAAAATTAATATTTAATTCATATATTTAAATAATTACAATTTGATTACAATCATTACTTGTTTGTTGTGTTTTATTTATGGCACTTAATATGTAATGGTGAAAATACTTGTTTGAGTCATTGACTAGACGACCATCTCAAAAAATTACATAAATTTAATTAATAAAATAATTTATTTAAATTATTTTATTTATTTAGTGCTTTGATTATTGTAAATACAAAATATGTATGGATTGTTTATGATAAATATTATTGTTGATATTGATCTTTAATGTTTCAGTTTATATCAACTACATTCAAGCAACAATTCACAATTTCAATTTAATTTTAATGACATTTATAAAGTAAGTTGTTTATTTTTAATATTTTTCTTAAATTTGGAAATTTAGACTAGAAAATTTTTTTTATTATTTTTTTTTTTTTTACTTTTTATAGTACAAGAAATGGTAATTATCAGTAATTAAGAGCCAGTGAAGTAGCAAAATGTCAAGTGACAGTGACCATATGCCCAAGCCCTCTAAACGGATCCGGTGCCGAATTTCTGATACCAGCGAGAGCAGTAGCGATGAGTCTGTTATTGCAAGGATTCGTCGCAAGCGTCGAAATCATATGGTTTGTTTTGAATATTAAATAATTAACAAGTTTAATATAAAATATAAAATATAAACAATAAAATAATTAAAAAAAAAAAAAAATAAAATAGAAAATTAAAATAATTTAATTAATTAAAAATAGAATAATATAAAATAATTAACAAGTTTAATAATAATGATAATAATGATTGTTTTCTGTATAGCAGGTCGTAAGTGATGATGACAGCAGTGAAGAGGAGCTAAGTTCGACCGGGAAGAAAACTCCCAACAAAGTAAGTAAATAATTAACTTAAAAAAATAATAAAATTAATATTCTTACTTGTTAAAGGCCTTGGAATCTGACAGCGAGAGTTACAGCAGTGCAAGTAATTATTCAGCGGGATCCACGAGCGATGAATGGGAGTCTGATTGGGAGAGCGAGTCAGAAGATGACATGTTTGAATCTCCGAAGAATAAAAAACGTAGTAGGAAAGAGCAACAGCCTAAGGAAGACGCTCCAAAAGCTCCAGAGAACATTGAGTCCGACGAGAGCGATGGGACTTCTGAAAAATGCCCGATTTGCATTCTGTCGTTTAGACATCAGCAGATAGCGGTACCGTCCTGCTGCGAGCACTGTTTCTGCTTGATATGCTTGACAGAGTGGAGCAAAAATGTCAATACTTGTCCGGTTGATCGTAAAACATTTACGACCATGAAAGTCAAAGATAATATCAATGGCTCTGTAAGTTTATTGTTATTTTATTTAATGACAATTTAATTTTAATTAATTAATAATATTTTATTAATTTTGGTTAATTACAATTCATAAATAAAAATAAAAAGTGAAAAATAAAATTAAAAAAGAAAGCCAAAAGATATATTTAATATATTTATATTATAATTATATAAAAGCTTCGTTAAAGACACTAGACATGCAAATAAAATCCTATTATTAATATTAATAAATTGAAGTTAAAAAAAAATTAATAAATTAAAATTAAATTTCAGGTGATTAAATGTATATCCGTGGAGCCAAAAAAAGCCACCGAAGAACAAGTACAAGAAGACCCGACGTTTTGTGAAATTTGTCACCTGAGTGATCGCGAGGACAGATTACTGCTGTGCGATGGCTGTGACTCTGGTTATCACTTGGAGTGTTTAAATCCTCCAATGGATGAAGTTCCTTACGACAATTGGTACTGCCCAGAGTGTTCCGCGAACGACCCGAACATGGCTGAAGAGGTAAATTGATATTAATAAACTATAAATTGTAAATTTCTTATTGTAAATTTTAATAAAATTTTTTTTAATGAATTTTAGGTAAACATTGAGACTAATGAAGTGAGTGACCTGATCGCAGAGGCTCGTTGTTTGGGAATGACTTACGGAAGAAGAGAGGCTGGACTAGCTTCCCAGTACATGTCCGCGAATAATTTCCGACCACTGCAGCACCGGCTGGTGCCGCGAACACGTCAAACAGAGCGTGTGCGAGCTTCTATCCGCGCTACTCGCAATAGAAGAGAGCAAGTACCGGAACTAGTAGCGGTTTCGCGAGTCTTTGATCCCGATCAACCCTCGACCTCGTCTGGCTTTGACTCTATTTCTGAAAACAGTCGAGGTCGCTCACCAAACGCCAGCTCGGCTGGGAATTTTTCTCACCATAGCCGACGCACTGCCAGTAAATCTAAGAGCCGCTCTAAACCGACTAGTCGCAAAAAGAAAACTCCAAAACGTAAAAAGGCGAAAAATAATGAGCCTGTGCTACAGAAAGTTGTCATTAAAGATTATGGCACTGATGGCGAAGAAAGAGAAATTGTGAGCTATGTCAAAGTCAAAAGCGGAACTTCCAGCCGGAAACGTAAGAAGCGATCTAAAAAAACCTTCAAGGTATAATTTCATCGTAATTCAGTTATCTCTTACCACTCATTAATTTGTATAATAACAATTTTAATTAACATTGTCATCCATTACTTTCTACCACTTTAAAATAACTTGTCCAGATAAATAAGTTATTTTTACTGACATTTTTTTTTTTTTAATTAATTAATCATCTCTTTTATAATTTTTTTGTTTTACTTATTGTGATTACATTTATAATAATAATTATTAGTTGAAAAAAAAAAAAAAAATTATATTTTAGCGTAAAAATTTGATAAAACGTAAAATAATTATAAGCGTGATTTAAATTTCATACTTTAATTGGTCTCTGTAATAATTTTATTAATAACAAAATATATTCATTGTATAAGTAAATGTATCACAATATATCTTTAATAGAATCAATTAAAAATATTAATTATTTAAAAAATTGTTCAATAAGTCGAATATATAAATTTCAATAAATTCGACCTTGAAGAATGGTTTTTAAATACTTTTTTTCCCAATCCGACTTTGACTTGAAATTTATTATTATTATTTATTAACTATAGTTTTAAGTTATAATTCTATATATTTATATACTGAAGATTAGAGCCGTAAAATTAAAGTTAATATTTTACTTTTCTAGAGACGGAAAAATAAATATCACCGCAGAGCTTGCCGGCGAATAGGTAATATTAAATCAGTGAGAAAGCGAGTTGCGATTGCTTTAAATATGGCCAAAAAAAAATCAACAACTAATCCGATCGGATTAATATCGTTAACAAATCAAAGCTCGTCAGTGCCTCAAAGAACTGAACAGCTTACAAACGCGAGGTACCGAGCTGGCATACCACAACTTAATTTATTTGGAAATAATTTACCTTTAGATTATTGTCCCTTCGGGTAAGTAATTTTAAAATGATTTTAATTGTTTAAAAAAAAATTTTTTTAATTTTAATTGTTAAAAATTTTTTTTTAAGTAATTTTAATTGTTATTATAATTTTTTTTTAAATAATTATAAATGTTACAGATCGGATGACGAAATAAATCCCTCTGTAAGTGAAGAAGATGGTATTAGCGGTGGTAATGTGGTCAGTGTAACTCGTCGTAGTGCCTCTTCAATAACAAGTCTCAGACGTCGACTAGGTTTAAAAAATCAAGTGAGTCGCGTAAGACGTGATCCGCATCCTCAGCCAGTAATCACCGACTTGCTGGACAATATAATCAGCAGTCAAGAGCTCTGGCATTCTAAAGCCACTAAAATCAGCCTGAAAGCCGACGGGACTTTTTCTCTACCCGAAAAGAAAAATAAGCCCGACATCATCAAGAACAATGATTTTTTAAAGGATGAACAATCAAAAAACGACAGTATTATAGCCTCTGTCACCGGTTCTGCGGATATTAATCCAGACATAGTTCAAGCACCTATGTACAACAATTCCCGGGGCGGTAACAACTCCGACGGGAGGTCTTTCAGAGGAAACTACCACAACAGAGGCCACCATGGTCACAACAGAAACGACTACGGACCTCCTAGGGATTCTTACTCCGGAAACGGACCTCCGACTTACGGAGGTCCAGGTCCGAGGGATAGTTTCGGCCACGGAGATTTCCGGCAGCCTCCACCCTTGCTGGACTTTAGTCCCAACCGGCGGCAGCCTCACACTCCAGGAATGATGAACCGCAATCGCAACAATCCAAACTTCCGAAACAATCCTCGGGGTCGTAATTTTAACAATGACCGCGGGGGATTCCGCCCGCTAGAAAGTCTTCAGACTTCTAATTTTCAGCCTCCGGAAAATTTTCACAGTCAGAATGTAACTAGCGTAAATGTAAACACCGGTGCGCTACCGAGCAATGTTGCTAATTTATCACTTCAGGATACTTCACCAGAAAATTTAACTGCTAATGTCGACGCTGTTGTAGAGAATACCAGCAATTCTGGCGTTGAATCTGCTGAAGCGAATCCAGCGAGTGAATCCGCTGTGGCGAGTTCTGACCAACCTGAGGGAGAAGAATGTGATATTTACAGTGATATTGATATGTCTAAGCCGAGCGATAACCCAGAAGGCGATAACAAAGAAACTGATGATAGAAATAGTTCTATAGAAGCGCTCTTACCTCCTCCGATTCCTCCGTCAGACTTGCTGGACTTTGAGGACAATCTCAAGAGTGATAACGAGAGTGATGACAATGATTTAGTGATTGATGACACTCCAAAAGAGCCTGCTAAAAATGCTGATACAAAAGATGGAAAAACAGATGATAAATATGATCCGTTTGCTGTAATTGACAGTGATAGTAATGATGAACATCCCCGTGATAGTAGTAAGAAAAAAAATCAAGGTGAAAGTAGTAATTTAGATTTTATAAATTCTTCACTCCCTCCGCTGGAACCTCCTCCAATGCCTCCAGATTTTTCTGCTATTGTTGACCTAGGTGAGATGAAGAATATCAAAAAAGACTCCCTTACCCTCCTGGGGACTTATTATAACGACGAGGATGATGATAATGCCAACCAGGATGATGATGATGATGATGATGATGATGATGAAACAACCAAGAGCGACTGTCCTAATTTCTCGATTTATTCCTCGGAAACTATGGATGTTGCTAGGCACGCTGAGCAAGAGTTGACGCAACAGATTGGACCGCTGGAGCCACCTCCTATGCCGCCGCTTATGCCTGATGATGATGATATTATTGTCGCTGATGTTCAGAGTTGTGATTTAGCGGATATTCCTGAACCCTCGGATCCTTATATTGAGTCCTTGCAAAAAGAAAGGCAGACTTTGAGTAAGATTCCGACGAAAAAATTGTCAATTGATTCCAGGGGAAAAATTACTTTTAAAATTGGGAATAAGTCTAAGTTGAATAATAAATTGGGTAATTTGGAGGATAGGTTTGAAGATAGTGTTACGGCTTCTATGGAGAAGGATAAGGAGGCGAAGGACAAGGAGAAAAATAAAGATTTGAAGGATAAAGAGGGCAAAATTGAGGAGGCTAAAGAGAAAGAAGTTAAAAATAAAGATGAGAAGGAAGATGATGATGATGATGATAAGAAGAAAGATTCTGGGGATAAAGAAGATGATAAAAAGTCTAAAGAAAAAGAAGATGATAAAATGTTGAAAGAAAAAGTAGATGATGAAAAATCTAAAGATGAAGATGATAAAAAATCTATAGAAGAAGATGATAAAAAGTCTAAAGAAAAAGAAGATGAAAATGAATTGAAGGAAAAAGAAATTATTGAAGAAGAAAGTCAGAAATTTTTATTGAAGACTAATGATGAAGATAATGTTGATAAAAGTAAGGAAGATGATGATAATTCTCCGGCTGTTGTTGTTGTTGTTGTTGAAAGTAAAGATAAAGAGGAAGAGTTTGAACTGATAAAAATTGATTCACCTGAAAAGGAAAAAGACAAGGATGATGATAAAGAAGAGGTGATAGATGAAAATAAGAATAAAAATGAAGATGTAGAAATAATTGAGGTGCAAGAAAGTGTTTCTTTAAATAAGTCGACGGCTGATTTGGAAGAAACTGATGAGCTTAAATTACGCAAGGATAATGTTGAGGTAAATGTTGAGGCCAAGTGTGCTGAAAATGAAGTCTGGGAGTCTGACGGAGCTTACACTCCGTGTAAAGATGAGATGCCGGTTAAGGAAAGTATTAAATTGGATGGTAGTGAAGCTGCTGAAGCTTCTTTTGATAATGGCTTGGAGCCGATCACTCCGCCTCCTAAAGACAGGTCGACTGATGATTTAGGAGCCAGGTGTAGGACACCTATAGAGTACGCGGGACTTGGTACAGAGGCTATTTCTGAAACAGACGAGCCGATTAATTTTGAAGAGGAGCTTACAATGTTGAGTCAAAGGAAGGACAAGGAGATGGAAGACGGGGAGGTGTCTGATGAAAATAAACTTAGTAATAATAGTGGGAATAATAAAAAACACAAGGATAAATCTTCTGATACTGATAACAATCCTGAGAGCAGTAGGAAGAAGAAAAAAAATAGAAGGGATAGGAACAAGGAGGCGAGTGAAAAGAATAAGGAGAATATTTCTTCTGATAATCAGGTGGAGTGGAAGAAAATTTCTAAGAGTACAAAAGAGAGATCTTATCGGGAGAAAAGTAAAAATTACGAATCTGGGGATAAGGATAAGAGTAAGGATAAAGGAAAGTATCGAGATAGAAGCAAAGATCGTGGGAAGAAACACGGTAAGGAAGATAGTGACAAGAAGAAGGTTAAGAGGAAGGAATTGCCGAGGTATGATGTGAGAAAAATTGTTTCTGAGAAGCCAGTTAGGCCTCGGAAGGATGAGTATGGTCGGGATATTCGTGAATTATCACTGAGCTTGTCACCCAGTCGCAGTTTGACTCGTAACAGACGATCACATTCACGATTAAGTCGGTCGTATTCTCCCAGAATGAACTTACGGAAGAGCCGCTCTTGGTCGCGGCATCGAGCTAGATCGCGCGAGCGCTCCCAAAATCGTTCTTCGCCCTACAAACAGTCACTGTCCCGCTCACGGAGAAAATCACAGACCCGCGACCGTCATTCCTTGTCCAGAAGACGTTCCAGGTCGCCAACCAGCCGGCGGAACCAGCGAGTCTCTCCCGCTAGACAGCATCAGTCCAGGAGGAGCAAGAAGAAGTCACTTTCACGGAAAAACAGATCTAGAACGAGATCTTGGTCTCGTTCTCGGTCAAGGTCGCGCGTACGCTCCCGCTCCCGCTCCCGCTCCCGCGTGAAATCCCGCTCGCGATCTCGGGTGAGAATGAGATCGAGGTCGAAGTCTAGGACGAGTTCAAAGTCGCCTTCCAAAACAAGGTCGAGGTCCCGCGGAGCTAAAAAGAAGGAGAAGCTCAGAAAGCAAAAGTCTCCGTCTGCTTCTCACTCAAGAAGACGCAAGCGGTCTCGTAGCCGGAGCAAATCACCTTCCAAAAAGACTCCCAAGTCTTTAAGGTCCAAGCGCAGAGCTAAGAGAGACTCCAATGTGTCTCAAACTAACGCATGCCACTCTTTTATCACTAGATCCAGATCTAGGGAGCATTCTTACTCCCATGGGAGGAACTGGAACAAAATCAGCGACAAGGATTTAGATCACAGTCCATTCGACGTCCGGGAGAAAGACCAGCAGGTTTCAGGAAATGCCGGAGTGTCTTGGAGCGCTCAGTGGACTCCTTCATGGTCCAGGTCAAGGTCCAGGACCCCCGCTGCTATCAACAAGCAGCGCGATGACCACATGATGCAGTCCAGGAACTGGTCACCGACTTCTAGTTCCATAGGCGACATGATTGCCGCTCAGTCTATCAATCTACCACCTTCATCACCACCCTCTCAATCTTCCCTGCTCGCTTCTATGAGCAACGCTCTTGGGAATATTAATGGTGCAAATCCCTCAGCTCCAACCCTGGACAATCATGTCTCTCCCAAAAATCTAACGGTGATCTTACGCAACAAAGACGCCACCAAGAGTAAAAAGAAGAAGGACAAGCGCTCGAAGGATAAGAAGAAATCCCGTGATGCGGATCGCAGAAAAGGAGCTAGCAAGCGGAACCGCACGCCTCCTCCTTCTAAGGAAGTCTTCGCCAGTGGGGACAACATCCTGGTCAGTGTTTGCTTTAATGACAACGCTACGGGGCAGTCTAATAATATGATGAACCTAACTGACACCTTGCCGTTGTTGACCACTACTAAAAGACGTCGTCGTGAGCCTGTTCAAGAGGAGCCACCTCCGGCGAAGAAACCAAAGAAAGACAAGTCTAAGGAAAAAAAATCAAGACCTTCGCCCAAAGTCAGCAAGCGGGATAAAAAAAGAAAGTCCAAGGCGGCTGAAATTGCTGCGACGAAAAAACCTGTCGCTGTTATTGACCTGGACCAGTCTCCGTTTCGCGAGCAGACGCTTTCTCCTCAAGATATTATTGTTCTGAGCGATGATGACAATGTTGGTAATAACGACGGTAATAATTTGAACAATGGTAATGGGAATAATGCTGGAAATGAAGAGAGAGGGAATAATGCTTTGAACAGCAGTCATGATAATACTATTAATACCAGTAATAATAGTGAGCACAATATTATTTCTATTGATAATAGCAACAACAGTGGGGTTAATAATCAAAATAACGATGGGTATGATGACGATGATGATGATGATGATGATGATGACCGAGATAGGGAGGATAATTCTCTGTTTATGTTTGCTAATCAGCAGCAGGATGGAGACAATCAGGGCAAAGGAGATGATAAAGTGATGCAGCAGGAGCATCAGCTTAAATTGCTCCAGCAAAAACGGCTTAAGTTGTCCGAGCACGAGCAGTTCATGATCCAGGGTCCCAAGACGCCTCCGGAGCCGCAGATCAAGTTTTCAATTAGCAAGCAGCAGAGCAATCTTAGGAACATGATTATGCACCCGCTGTTTAATAGGGATCATGATGAGCTGGAGATGGAGGCGCAGTTAAGTGCGAATGCTTCCAGAGGAAAAGAGGGACAGGTTCAGAATGAAATCTTCGATGAGAATGACAGCTCGGAGATTAATAGGTTGAATCAGGACCAGGCTGCTGATAAGAATTTGGAGGATGAGGAGGAGGGAGATGAGGGCAAAAAGGATGTCCAGGTGGTGGATGATGATGATGGTGAGCAGGATGATGAGGAGGGAGAGGATGAGGAGGAAGACGGGGGCGATGAAGAGGAGCAAAAGGGTGATAAGGATAGCAGGGATGAGGCTAAGAAATTGGAGAAGGATAAGAGGGACGATGAAGATAAGGATAAGAAGGCTAAGAATGATGGCAAAAATTCGGAGGTTATAGATTTGTGTAAAATAGGACCGAACACTCCGCCAGAACCTCCGAATTCGCCGCTGACTTCGCCGGATGTTTATGATCCGTTTGATCCGACTAAGTCCAGGTCGCCCACGCCTAGTGTCATAGAAGAGCCTCATCTGCCCAGTGAGCAGAAGCATGCTAACAAAGGCTCTGATTTGAGTGCTAATAATGAGAAGCAGGAGAGCGACAAGCCCAAGGTCATTTCTATGGTGACTATCAAGCGAGTTTCGCCTGAGAAGGTAACTCCTACGACCAAGCCGCTGGATATTAGGATAGAAAACAAGTCCCTGGATCACTTAAATCAAAACTCTGCTGGGAATCTTAGTTGCTTTACTACTATCAATCCTGTGCTGGCTACTGTCGCTGCTGCTGTTCAACGGAGTGGGATTTTTAACAACCCCGGTAATTATGGTATCACGCAGAGGAACATCAACAGACTCTCTCCCAGCAGCCAGCTGAAGCAGCGCGGCAATGAGCGGCCTCAGTTGTCCAATTTGTTTGCTGCGAAAAATTTGGGTAATTCGAGGATCGATCAATAAACAAATATACTTATTATTATCATACAGTCTTACTTTATTATCATAAAGAGTTAAATTTATTTATTTATTTAAATTCAAAACAGGAATCGTATGCTTCACATTCACTTGCTGAGGTATGGAGTCGATACAAATCAATGGTTATTGAAGGCGATGTGTGGAAGTGTTGAAATACGCACTGTTTATGTTGGTCACAGGCAAGCTAGAGCTGTTGTTGTTTCACGACTTAGTTGTGAACGTGCTGGTACCAGGTAAAATTATAATTGATAATATTTTATTTATTTATTCTTGATAATGTATGAATGTAATTTTTTATAATACTGAATTTAATAGACACTTAAAAATTTTTATAATAGATAAATAATTCCGCATGTAGAGATTTAAAAAAAAAAAAATAGCAACCTTGCAGTCACTACGTGACTGCCGTGACTTGTGAACTATGAATAAATAAAATTTTGCTTTATTAAATAATGATTTTTGTTAAATTACACTGTACTTTCTTAAATATTGATGTTTTTTAAGATATAAGCTCATCCCGATGTTACACTCATCGAGACCTTTAATTTGAGTACCCACATGGTATTTTTCATATATTTTATATATATGGTATTTGTAAAATATATAAATATATAAAATATATGAAAAATTGATGTGGGTACTCAAATGAAAGGTCTCGATGAGTGCAGTAATGTCGGGGTGAGCTTATATCTTTACAAATGTCAATATTTTACAAGATATTTATTAAATTGCATTGTACTTTCTTAACTATTGACATTTTCACCGATATAAGCTCATCCTGATGTTACACTTATCAAGAGCTTTCATTTGAGTACTCACATGCAATTTTGATATATTTTTTATATATACATATATATCAATTTATAAAATATATGAAAAATTGATGTGTGTACTCAAATGAAAGGTCTCAATGAGTGTAACATCAAGATGAGCTTATATCTTTAAAAATGTTAATAGTTCACAAGATACAAGGTCATTTGTGTGATTAATGTATCTAGAGAACATTTTCAAATGCAAATTAAGTTCTTTGTAATGACACTAAATTTCACTAAAAAAAAACCGATTTTATCATATGACTATCTTTAACAGAAAATTTTTCTTATTCTCTTAATGATATAAATTATAAATAAACTTTCAATAATAAATATTCTTTTTTTTATAATAATTTATCTTATAAAAATTCAAAGAATTATAAAATTCCCGCTAAATTCAGTATCAATTTTATTTATTGCATAATATTTTCACATTACTAAAAAAAACAAATAAATTTTTCCAGATTCAACGTCCGGGGAACAAACGACGACGGGCATGTAGCAAATTTCGTGGAAACAGAGCAAATAATTTACCTAGACAATGAAGTGACCTCCTACGTGCAAACCCGTGGCTCAGTTCCTCTCTTCTGGGAGCAACCCGGAATCCAAGTCGGCTCCCACAAAGTAAAAATCTCCCGAGGCTTCGACACAGCGACTCCAGCATTCGACCGTCACCTGAGTATGATAAAGCAGCGCTACGGTCAGCAAGTAATAATAAATCTCCTGGGCTCAAGTTTAATCGGCAGCAAAGAAAGCGAAGCGATGTTAAGCCAGATGTTCCAAAGCCACCACAATTTATCCCAGCACAAAGACGTGCCTCACATAATTTTCGACTACCATCAAGAGTGTCGTGGCGGCAACACAAAAAATCTCTCCAAATTAAAAGCGAAAGTAGAAAAATACTTAGACTCCTTTTCAATATTTTACGCCGTAGGAACTTCCGTGATCAGCGAGCAAGTCGGTACAATCCGTACTAATTGCCTCGACTGCCTAGACAGAACTAACTGCGTCCAGACATTCCTAGCCTTGGAAATCCTTTCAAAACAACTATCACTGCTAAAATTATTCGAGAAACAACAATTAGTCTCCCGATTTGAAGAAGTCTTCCGCCAAATGTGGATCAACAACGGAAATGAAGTCAGCAAAATTTACGCAGGCACCGGAGCAATCCAAGGAAGCTCCAAATTGATGGACGGCGCTCGCTCCGCAGCTCGAACAATTCAAAACAATTTATTGGACTCCAGCAAGCAAGAAGCTATCGATATTTTGCTCCTAGGCTCGACATTGAACACCGAGCTAGCAGATAGAGCTCGATTATTATTACCCTCGAACATGCTCCACGCTCCGCCAAGTGTCTTGAGAGAAATGTGCAAGCGTTACAGTGAATATTTACAAACAATGAACCTCCGCATCGGCGTGGGAACTTACAACGTCAACGGTGGCAAACATTTCCGCAGTGTCGTCTACAAGGATGTCTCTTTATCCGACTGGCTCCTCGACGCTCCCCGGAACACTGCCTACCTTCTAACTCCAGATGACGATGGAGTTCCAGTTGATGTCTTTGCGGTCGGCTTTGAAGAGATAGTCGACCTAAACGCAAGCAATATAATGGCAGCTAGCAGCGACAACGCCCGAGCGTGGGCGGAAGAGCTCCAGAAAGTAATCTCCCGAGACACTGAATATATTTTGGTGACTTACCAGCAATTAGTCGGAGTCTGCTTGTATTTATTCATCAGACCGCAGCATGCGCCTTATTTAAGAGACGTAGCGGTGGATTGTGTTAAAACTGGCCTCGGAGGAGCTACGGGTAACAAAGGCGCCGCTGCAATAAGGTGTGTGTTATATTCAACATCATTCTGCTTCGTCTGCGCTCATTTTGCAGCCGGTCAGTCCCAAGTCAGTGAAAGAAACGCGGACTATGCTGAAATTACCAGAAAATTAGCTTTTCCTATGGGGAGGACACTTAATACTCATGATTACGTTTTTTGGTGCGGAGATTTTAATTATAGAGTTGATATGGACAAAGATGAGATGAAAGAATTGATCAGGAACAATGAATTGGAGCAGATTCTGCAGTTTGATCAGCTGCTGGTTCAACAGGAGCAGGGAAATGTGTTTAAGAATTTTATTGAAGGTATTGTATTGTATTGGGTTTATTATTATGCCAAGGCAATTAGCTGAATGGCAAGAAATTTTACATACTTAGTTGTGTTTACAATAATAGTATACAAAGTTAATTTAATTAATTTTTACACAACATAAGTGCAGATATGATAAATTCTAAAATACATTACATGTTTTCGGTGTAATTTGTTTGACTACATAAATTTAATAATAAACTTATAATGTTTAATGACTTTTCGATCTAACTAAGATAATTGGACAGAATTACTAATTTGTAATATAAAATATCAAATAATGACTAGGCAAGCCAATTTAAAATAAAGAAGCTACTAAAAATCCAGTTTAAGTAGATAATCGAACATCTTTACTTTAAATACTTCTAAATTACTAGCATTTACAATTTCTGCCATTTACAATTTTTGCATTTACAATTTAGCATATAAAATTTCGAAAATATTATATATTAAGAATTGATTGTTTTTCTTTAATTTGGAATACAATTATGACAAATACAAGAAAAAAAAAAAAAAATAAATTTGAGTATATTAAAAATATAAGAGTTAAACTCAGTGGTACAAATTATAAAAGATAATAATCTGAGATGATCTAGAATGATAAACTCATGTAACAGAAATGTGTAAATGAATATCAAAGGTTTGAAAATTAGGATTCATTGTCTCCTTTAAAAGATTGAAATTAAGATTCATTATCTCGTTCACGTTTCATGAAGAATTCAAAAGTATTAGTTTTAAAAGAATTTAAGATAAGTGAATTTGTGACTTCAAAAGTTACTACAAAAGAGTTTTCTAAAGCAAAAGTAGAATATTTTGATAATTCAAAATTGACATTATTTATTTTGCTTCTAGGTCCTGTCACCTTCCCTCCTACTTACAAATACGATTTATTCTCCGATGATTATGATACCAGTGAAAAATGTCGTCAGCCTGCTTGGACAGATCGGGTTCTTTGGAAAAGACGTAAGCAAATTCCGGATATTGATTCTCCAGCTGATTGGAACCCGGGAAGATTAATTTATTACGGTAGGGCAGAGTTGAAGCAAAGTGACCATCGTCCGGTGATTGCGATTATTGATGTTGATGTTCATGTTGTTGATCCGGAGAAACGTGAAGCTGTTTTTAAGGAAGTTATTGAAGACCTGGGGCCTCCTGATGGGACGATTATTGTAAAAGCTACTGAGGAGAGTGAAGATATTGACAGCGTTTTTGATGACAATTTTATGCTGGCGCTTTTGCAGGAACTTTCGCATATAGGCGAGGTGATTCTTGTGAGGTTTGTCGGGGAAACTATCTGGGTAACGTTCCGCGACGGTCAATGCGCTCTCTCGGCTGCTCGCAAAGGCATGACTCAAGTCTGCGGTCAGACGTTGAAGCTGTCATTAAAGTCCCCGCATTGGGTGCAATTAATTCAAAAGGAAATTGAAATATGCAGTAACACGACGATTCCGCAGTATGATGACTCACCTTCGAGGAATGTTTCGAGGCTTGAGCAATTGGAGATAACTGATGATCCTAATTCTGGAAGATCTAGTCCGAGTGATGGTAACAGACCGCCTAGACCGGCGCCTCCCACTCGCCCGGCTCCTCCAAGGAGCCCAGCTCATGAGCGAAGGCCTCTTCCTAGGGCGGGAGTGATTAGTGTGATGCAGAATCAATTTGTTTCGTCGAGAGCTGAGGACTTGGAGAAGGCTGAGAGGCTCTCACCCGAGTCGGCGATTTATGAAGAAATTCTGGATGAACCGCCGAATTATCCTGTTCCTAATAGACCGCCCCCTCCGTTACCTAGGTCTGCGACAGATGGTCAAGAGTCTAAGCCGCCGAACTCTGCTCCTCCGCCGCTTCCACAAAGGCAGATGCCCGTACCGCCACCGCAACATCCGCCACCGAGTTTGCCACCTCCTAACTTACCTCCGCCTGTTCCTGCTAGGTCTGGAGGTGGGCCTCCTATTCCTACTCGGAATCCTCAGTAGATGTTTTAGTGTTCCAATGGGAGAAAAAATTTATTTTGAAAAAAAATTTAGGGTTTTTTTTTTTTTTTTTTTTATGAGAAATTTTGAAGAATTTTATTTTTTAGTTGAAGAAATATAAATTTTTTTTTTAGTAATTTTTTTGGTGAAAAAAATTTTTTTGATTTGAAAATATTGACACTTGAAATTTTATTTAAAAAAAACAAATCAACTCTAATAAATTAATAAATATAATTTTGGAATTATAAATTTTTTAAAAATTGATTTTTTGAGAACATTAAATTTTTTCAATTAAAATAAAATTGTCAAACAATTAGTCCAGTGTCAATAACTAGATCTTTTACCTTACTAAGAAAAAAATCTTTATTTCTTTAGCTAAGAAATAAAATTCTAACAAATTAATTTCTGATAATAAAAATAAAATTTTTTTTTTTTTAAATAAATCTGTTTTTTCTCAGTATATTGTGAGAAATTGAATATCCTTAGCCAGTCATAATATTAGTTATTATTTTAATTGATAGCTAAAGTTAGAAATGCCATCTCTTTATACCTCAACGAAATTTAGCTCAATAAGTTATCACTGATAACTCAATAACATTCCAAACAAATTTATTTACTGCCTGGTGATTAATTTTACGTGTGAAAATTTTATTTTAAGCTTGCCAGTATAAAATTTATAATTTATTCTAACTAATTTATTAGGTATTAGTTTAATAAATGATGATCAAAAATATGCACGCTAATAATAAGTTAAAATCTTAAATTAAGAATAGTTGAGTTTACAAAATTTTAATAGATTATTGATTATGCTTGGTAGACCTCCACCAAATTATAATTAATAATTGAAACGTTATAGATAAAAGTTTCAAGTCATAATAATGAATGTTTGATTTTTTTTTAATGATGGATAAACAATATGCCTAACTACAGTATTCATATGTAACCTCCTGTATTTTATGTGAAATATAATCTATTGTTGACCAATTGTTGTAATGTAATAAATGCTACCATACGTGTAATGAATTATAAATGAAATAAGAATGTTGAATAAAAAAAGTTTCTATAAAAGTTTTGAAAACACGTATGAGGAATTAAAAGATTATAAAAAATACATATTGATATTATTTTTAATTTATTTAGGTAGTCTGCATAGATATTATGTGTCGTATCGTGTAAATATATATAACATCGAATGCAAATATATTTCATCAATAGTATCTGGATATTTTAAAATAAAAAAATCTAAACACTGACAGATGTAAAAAATTAAATTTTAAAAGTGTACTGTATTATTTATTTAATAAAGAAATAATCAGTGAAGACATATTCACCTAAAAATAAATTATTTATGTTATTAGGAGAATAAGTAAAATTATGTGCGTATTTTTTTTTTTTTTTTTTTTTAATAAAATTGTTAACATTTTTTTTTTTTTTTCGGTAAAAATGCTTTAATCTCAGTCGTTTACATTTAAAATTGTTCATTAAATTATTCTACATATTGTCTTTTATAAAAATCGAATTATAAATTAATGTTTTACAAAATGGTATAAAAAAATTTTTTTATGACTAAATGATATTTAAATAATACCGATTATAAAATTTTTCCTTATAAAAAAAAAAAGTTTCAGTCATGGACAAGAGATTTATACATACATATATATTTATAGATCTATAAAATATTTCGTAAATTAATATTAAAAAAATGGAAAGTGATCATGGCTTAATATCTTATTCAATAAAAATTCGCAGATTATTTTATCAAAAGGTATATAATATATATACAAAAGTGCACTTGTGTATCGTTGCAATATTAATTAATTATTAAAAAATCTAAGTAATATAAAATGTCATAAATAATATCTTATAATTATAAAAAATAATTATTGTCTCAGGAATGATAAATTCAACTTAGCAGTCCGCAATTACTTAAATTATTTTTAATAATCACATCAGTTACCGCGTCAAACACAAACTGAATGTTCGATGTATCAGTTGCACAGGTAAAGTGTGTGTAGATCTGTTTTTGATCTTTGCGTTTATTTAAATTTTCAAATTTCATTTGCACGTAAGCAGCACACTCTTCGAATGAGTTGCCGCCTTTGTACTCCGGAAAACAGATCGATAGTGGGCTCTTGGCTATTTTCTCCTCAAACAGATCTTTCTTATTTAAAAATAGAATTATTGACGTGTCTACGAACCACTTACTGTTACAAATCGAATCAAATAGCTTCATCGACTCGATCATGCGGTTCATTTCTTCATCTTCAGCAAGCACAAGGTCGTAGCCACTCAGAGCAACGCAAAATATTATCGCCGTTACTCCCTCGAAGCAGTGAATCCACTTTTTCCTTTCCGATCTCTGGCCGCCGACGTCGAACATTCTAAACAAAAATCATCAAATTTATATTATTAAGAGAATAAGAAAAATTTTGTCTCTTAATTAAGAAATAACCTTGTATCTTGAGAACTATTGACATTTTTAAAGATATAAGCTCACTCCGACATTCGACTCATCGAGACCTTTCATTTGAATACCCACATCAATTTTTCATATATTTATATACATGTATATATAAAAAATATATGAAAATACATGTGGGTACTCAAATGAAAGCTCTTGATGAGTATAGCATCAGTATGAACTTATATCTTCAAAAATTTCAATATTTAAGAAGTTACAGTACAATTTAATAAATAAATCGTGAACTAATGACATTTTTAAAGATCTAAGCTCATCCCGATGTTACACTCATCAAGACCTTTCATTTGAGTACCCACATCAATTTTTCATATATTTATATATATATGAATATATGAAAAATATATGAAAATGCATGTGGGTACTCAAATGAAAGCTCTCGATAAGTATAACATCGGGATGAGCTTATATATCTTCAAAAATATCAATATTTAAGAAAGTAGTAAATATTAATAATTCAAAAAAATTTACTTGAAATGCAATCCTTTGAAGGCAAAATAAGTCTCTACAATTCCCGTCGTTTTAACCCGAGTCCTCAGGACATCTTGTTGCGTCGGTACATAATTAGGCTGCGCAATCCGATCCAGAGCATTCAAATAATACGCAGCGGAGTCATTTAATTGATACTCTCTGCTACGTGTGAAACAAAGCTGCACTCCTGCATCTTGCCATAATCTCTTCATTAGCAGCACAAGTTCCCCAGTGAGCTCACCCTCCTCTGCCGCGGAAGCTAGGGTAAAAAATTGCCGCGCTGTTTCCTGCAACACAACATTAAATCCATCAATTATTTACAGACTCACATTATTTATCCAACAAATTTAATTAGACTTACAGCTTTATTCGGGTCAGCGAAATTTATTCTCAGCTGGCCCATGGCCCGAATTATCGCCATAAGACTCTGAATTGTGTTGCTGTAAACAACCGGCTTGTATTGCTCGCATTCTTCCCTGCTGTATCCAGTCTCGTGGATTATTTTCATCTGTTTCACTATCGTAGATTTACCGGACTCTCCAGCACCTGAAAAAATAAATCATTACTCATTATCAATATCTCATTACAAATTTTAATCACCAACCTCATTAATTATTTTTACATAATTGCATCATTTTTTTATTAAATTTTAGCAACGCAAACATTACCCATCATTTTTTTCTAGCAATCGCTATCTTGTGAATCATATTTAGTTAATGATTCAACCTCACGGGAGACAATCTTTACATTTATATGTATCATACACGCACACCTATACACAATACATATATCGTCTCTTAATAAAAATTAAGTTAACCAACATCTAAAAATATTTATAAATTTTTTTATTAAAAAAAATAAGAAAAAATTTTAAAAACTACACGTGCAATTTTTATAATTAATTTATTTATTTATTTAATAATTTTTTTAAATTTTATAACAAATAAATTATGGCAAAAAGAATAAGAAAAATATAATAGCATGTAGAAATTTTAATAAATAAAAAATACAATTTTTCAGAAAAAATTTGTTTATTAAATAAAATAAAAAAATAATTAAGTAACTGCTCACTTTAATGTCATGCAATTTTTTAATATTAATTAAATGATTTAAAAAAAATAAAAAACATCGGCTAACTTTTGTATCGACGGTTAAAATATAATAATTACTACCTGCAGTACAAAAATAGCGTCAATGCTTTAAATTAATTCGGCATTGTAAAAATGATCAATCTGTCAAGATTAAATCACTTCAATTCTATTAATTAGGATGAAATCACTTGATACAAGAATAGAATAATTTATCAAGTGAAATAAATAATTTAAAAAAAAGTCATACCCAGAAGAAGAAGTTTGACCTCACTGGCAGCTCGTTCGCCATCAATACGTAGATCCTTGTCAATTTTCTTGGATCTTTCGGCCGCAGCCTTTTCACCCGTGTTGCTTACAGCGCATCCCATCCTCGTCTACTATATCAAACAATCCAAGTCCTGATTTCTTCTCAATGGAGCAATAAATTTTCTTCTGAATTTTATAAAAACAATATATAGTTTATCTAAATCTGACACTTGTTGCTCTGCTAGGACGTGGTGGGAACCGCCCGCTGTCTTATTCTCAACGGCCGTTTATACACGCGTCGCTACAATGAACCTCTATACTCTCGACTGAAATACACTTACACTTACGTTTCACAAACACAGTACTTACACTAAATATATAAAATATATTGCTGCATACACAAATAGAGCTTATAAATAATATAAATAAATTAATCTCAGTTTTATATTAATTATTAGCAATAATTAAAAATGAGTATTGTTGTTGTTTAAAGATACGAACTCGACGCGCCCACGATTAATTGTTTTCTTTGCCTTAACTTGCGCCGACGCGTCCGTTTAATTCATCCCTCAATATTCGTTTCTCTCTTGTTAACTTTTCGCGTTGCTGTGAAATCGGTCATACCATTTCCTACTACCTCACTGTCTACCTATAAACATAATATATATATATATATATATATATATATATATATATATATATATATCTATAGTTAAGAGTATTTTCACATATGTTGGAAAGTCATCAACGGAATTGAAAAAAGATAGAGATAATTTTTGATTGGCCAACTGTCATTTATCTTAACGCCATCTTGGAATCTCTTTTTAAAAAGATGGCGCTTCTGTTAAAATAGATGGCGCAGTTTAACAAATACCACAACTACAAACATTTATTTTATTATTATTTTCTTGTTTATTTTTTAGTCAACAGTCAAAATTTTTTAACTTTTATTTCTTTAAAATACTTCAAGTTTTATTTATATATTTTTTAAAATAAAAATTCCAATGGATGATGAGTTTCCAAATTCTGATGAGGAATACGATCTAGTTCCTACAGAAAGTTTAAAAAAAACTAATAATGTAACCGGTGTGTGTTTTTTATTGACTGTCATTTGTTTTTATTAATAATTAATAATTTTTTGTTTATTTTAGGAAATAATACAAAAGTTTCTCAAAATAATTTAACTCAGCCGTCAAAATCTAGTACTAATGAAAATTCACGTTTTATTTATGCTAATGATGATGATTTTCCCGATCCAGATGAAGAATTTGATTTGATCCCAACAGACGTTTATAAAAAATCAAATCAGCCTTCCAGTAAGTTTATTTATTGAATTTTTAAAAATAATACTAAAGTTAATTTTTAAATAAAAAAATTCGCACTTGTAATTTTTTTTAATTTCTACATGTCAATTTTTTTTATTATAATTTAATTGTTATTAATAATTAAAAAATTGAAAATTGTCAGCTGATTTGAGTATCATTAAATAAATAATAATTAAATCTACTAATATTTATTATTAGTAGGTACAAGTACTCAAAAGACACCTCAGAGTCAAGTTCAAGCTCCAAAACTTGTCGATAAATCCCAAGCTAGTATTTCTAGTGACTTTCCAGAACCAGATGAAGAGCTTGAATTCATTGAATTGACTCCTCAGCCTTCCACTTCAACGAGTGAGTCACTAACCCAGCAAGTCAGAAAAAGAACCTATGATGAATTGATGAAGGATGTAGCAGATCTTCTACAAGAAGATATACCCAGTAATTTATTATAAACTTTTAAGTGACAAATAAATTTTTTAATAAATATTGAAATATTAATATTTTATTAAAAAATATATTATTATTATTATTTCAGGTTCTAGTCGCTTGAGAAGAGAAAAAAGACCGAGATGGGACCAGCCAGATTTAATAATTGAAGCCATTTTAAACCAGAAACAAAAAGTCCAACAAAGATATGAGAAAGATGTTGATAATCCTCGTTTTTTGAATTCTAATTACTCTGAGTAAGTCAATTAATTTGAACTTATAAAAGCTGTTGATTTTAATATTAATTTCAATTTTAATTTTAATAAATCCAGTGATCCAGAGAGAGAAACAATAACTACTAGAGTGCCTTCTTGGAATTTCGTTGCCTTAACTCGTCCTTATGATTCTCAACGCTTGTACGTCCGAGTTAAACCAGACGCTGTAATTAATCCTATTAAAGTAAACTCATCGTCTGGTTTACTTTCAGTTAGCTATGATAAATTAAAAGCCGACGCTGAAAAAATAGTACGTAAAATTTTTTATTTTTCTATTTTATAATTAATTGAATAATTTTATTTTAGTTAGCAGATAAAGCGAAAGAAAAGTCAATAACATCTAGATCAGCAAGAAAAAAGGGTGAAGATGTATTATGGGTTGATAAATATCGTCCAAAAAAATACATGGAGCTTCTTACCGACGAAACAACCAACCGCGAATTCTTGCGCTGGATGAAACTTTGGGATAAGGTTGTATTCAACCGTGAGATAGTTATGAGAAAAAAAAATTCAACGACTAACTCGTTTAAGCCACGAAACTTTAACAATAATAAATCAGATAGAATAAATTCAAGAGAAGGTGGATTTAATGCCAATAAATTCAGCGATAATTGCAACAATGAAGAGCTTGTAGATAAAAAAGGATTTCCTGTACATAGAATTGCATTGCTCAGTGGACCCCCGGGTCTTGGAAAAACGACATTAGCACACTTGGTGGCTAGACACGCTGGTTATAATGTCGTTGAAATCAATGCGAGTGATGACCGCAGTCCGGAGGCTTTTAGACAGGCTCTATTAGCTTCTACGCAAATGAAATCAATGATTGGTGCTGATCCAAGGCCTAATTGTCTGGTTTTAGATGAAATTGATGGCGCTCCAGCTGCTTCGATAGAATTACTGCTCAAGTTTGTTCAAGGAAAATTATCTGAAAAGGGTAAAAAGTCCAAGTCAGCTGAGAAAAGTAATGAATTTTGTAAAAGACCTATTGTTTGTATCTGTAATGAGTTATACACTCCGGCATTGAGGTAGTTATTTTTATTAATTAATTTTTAATGGTTCAAGTCTGTAATTAGGGGAAATTTTTTTCAGGCCTTTACGAGCGGTTGCTTTTTCAATATACGTTCCTAGAATCACCCCGGCAGCTCTGAGCGATCGGTTATTAACTATTGCTCGTAGGGAGAGACTTGATGTGGATCAACGGGTCCTTTTACAGATAGCTGAAAAGTCAGGGTGTGATGTCAGGTCGTGTGTTAATGCCTTGCAATACATGGGTGATGATTGCGAAAAAACTAATTTGGATTTGAGTCTGAAAGATTCTAAAAAGGGGCTGTTTGAATTTTGGAAGGATATGTTTCTAGTTCCTCATGATAAAACTGGACCTCTTTCTTTACGAGAAAGAGTTCAGAGAGTTTTAAAATCAGCTTACAGTAGTAAGTAATAAAATTTTAATAATTATAACAACTCTATATAAAGAGTTTTTGACTTTTTTTTATTAATTAAATTAGAACTAAAAAAATATTTTTAAAAAATTGCACGTATAGTTTGTAAAATTTTCTACATGTGCAATTTTTAAAAAATTGTTTTTTAATAAAATAAATTATAATAAAAAATTTCAGTTGTCAGCTAATTTAATTTTCATCTATAAATACAATAATTTAAGACATTAAGAATTGTTTTTAGAATTTAATAGCAATTAAATTATTATGGAAAAAAATGAAAATAAAAAAATTTTACATGTGAAAATTTTAAAAAATTATTAATGGAAATTTTTATAATTTTTTAGACAACTCGGAACGATTTGTTCAAGGAATTTTTGAAAATTACCCACCAAACTGCCACGATAATTTAAATAAAGTATCTGGATCTTTAGAATGGTTTCAATTTTATGATCAAGTAACAACAGTTGTTGCGACTAAAAATGATTGGCAAGTAATGCCATACACAAATTATGCTTTTGCATCCTGGCATTTAGGTTTTTCACTTCCAAGAGCTCCGAAGTTATCGTTTCCTTACACAGCAACTGAGGTGAATAAAAATAATAAAAAAAAAAAAAAAAAAAAAAATACAATTAATAACTATAATTATAATTTTTTCAATAATTTCATTTTTTAGGTGAGTCAAAAAATAAAAAAAACACTAACATTGGTATCAGCAGCCCAAAGATCTTGTGGTCTAAGTGGTCTAGTGATAATTCTGGACCTTGCTCCGCTGTCATTTGAATTACTAACACCCCGACTTCGTTCTGTGGCTATTAATTTATACACTCCAAAAGAAAAGTCAGATTTGGATCATCTGATAGATGTAATGCTGAGTCTCAAGCTTGCATTCGTTCAAGACAGAAGGGAGGACGGCTCTCTGGACTACGTTATTGAACCGTAATAAATATTTTTGAATTTATTTAAAAAAAAAAAAAAAAAAAAGTAGAACTATTTTTTATTTTATTTAATTTACTAGAGATTTGTTTGAAATCGGCATTTTCCCTGATTGTAAGCAACGCAAAGGACTGTCTTACACCGTGAAGCAAATAGTGTCCCGAGAAATCGAGGCTGAAAGAGTAAAGCGAGCAGCAAAAGCCGCGGGAGCTGAAAGTTCTAAAGAAAATAAGCCAGCGTCGACTGAAAATACAAAAAATGATTTTGCTAAACCTAATCCAGTTAACAGACCAAATCATATAGATCGCGTGGAGCGTATCACGTTGAATGATGATCTTAAAGATCCAGTAAGCTTATTTGAATTTTTATTATTAATCGTTGTACTTTCTTAAATATTGTCGTTTTATAAGATATAAGCTCATCCTGATGTTACACTCGTCAAGAGCTTTCATTTGAGTACCCACATGCATTTTCATATATTTTTCATATATACCTATATATATATAAATATATGAAAAATTGATGTGGGTACTCAAATGAAAGATCTCGATGGGTGTAACATCGGGATGAGATTATATCTTTAAAAATGTCAATAGTTCTCAAGTATATCTATAACTATAACAAATAATTTTCAGAAATTCCGAGACTTCTTCAAGAACTTCAAGCTACCTCCTAAGGTGCCTGATCCAACGTCTCCTGAACAGACCTCCCCAAAAGCTGAGCGAATCGACCAACGAATCAAAAAAATAGTTCATACAAACGGAGTATGGTTCAAGTATATAGAAGGTTACAGTAACGCAGTTCGACGAACAGTAAGAATGAAAGATATTTTATAATATTTTTTATTATATAATTAAATTCAATTATAAAACAAATATTAATTAAATGATTTTTTTTTTTTTTATATATTCATAACATGCAAATCAATGTAATCGTCTCAGTCTAGTATTGAATGTAATTAGTTATTAATTTTAAGTTATCACCTAATACGGAAGTAGTAACAAAGATAACGGACAGTTATTAATTAATATATAACAGTTATATTGTTATATCTTATTTTATAACTAAAAATACTTGTGATTTGATTAACAGTTTGTAATTTAAATATTAGATTCGAGACTGGTTAAAAAATTAAGCTTCCAGTTCTTCAGCAGCTTCTTCGTCTTCATAACATTCCTCATCCTCAGCGGTCGCTTCCTAAAAATTTTAAATAATTTATTTATTATTTTTTTTATTAAAGAATTAATTCAATTTTTTTAACTACAAAAATAAAAAAAATAATGAAATTAATTAAAAAAAAAATTACCTGATATTGTTGGTACTCCGATACCAAGTCATTCATATTAGATTCAGCTTCAGTGAACTCCATTTCATCCATACCTTCACCAGTGTACCAATGCAAGAAAGCCTTGCGTCTAAACATCGCGGTGAATTGTTCACTGATCCGTTTGAAAATTTCTTGAATAGCGGTTGTGTTACCAATGAAAGTCGCGGACATTTTGAGACCACGAGGTGGAATGTCGCAGACAGCGACCTTGACATTGTTCGGAATCCATTCAACGAAGTAGCTTGAATTTTTATTCTGTACACTGAGCATATGTTCGTCGACTTCTCTCATCGACAATTGACCACGGAAAATAGCTGCTACTGTCAGGTAACGTCCGTGTCTGGGGTCACACGCAGTCATCATGTTCTTTGAGTCAAACATCTGAAAAAAAATTTTTCATTTTTAATTAAATACTTCTTTTTATTTATATATAATTTTCGGAAAGTTTTCTATTGCATACCTGTTGTGTGAGCTCAGAAACTGATACAGCACGGTATTGCTGGCTTCCGCGAGCAGTAAGTGGAGCAAAGCCAGGCATGAAGAAGTGAAGCCGTGGGAAAGGTACCATGTTCACAGCTAGTTTGCGAAGATCTGCATTCAATTGTCCGGGGAATCTCAAGCAAGTTGTTACTCCAGACATTGTCATCTGTACAAATAATTATTTTATTTTAATAATAGGTCTTAATAAAGAAAAAAAAAAATTTGTAATTAATAATAATAATAATAATAACAACAACTAGCAACCTTACAGTCACTATGTGACTGCCGTGTGAATTATAAATGAATAAAATTTTGCTTTATTAAGAAATGACTCTTGTTAAACTACACTGTACTTTCTTAAATCTTGAAATTTTCAAAGATATAAGCTCATCCCGATGTTACACTCATCAAGAGCTTTCATTTGAGTACCCACATGCATTTTCATATATTTTTCATATATACATATATATATATATAAATATATGAAAAATTGATGTGGGTATTCAAATGAAAGGTCTCAATGAGTGTAATGTCGGGGTGAGCTTATATTTTTTAGAAATGTCAATAGTTCTCAAGATACAAGGTCATTTTTTAATTATGTATCTAGAGAACGAACATTTTCGAATACAGCCTAAATACTTGTTATAGTAAATTGACTATAGGTGAGAATGATATAAAACCTTGAAAAGGCACAACAATATAATATTATTGTGCACTTAATAATATAGATAATAATAATAATAATAATAATAATAATGATAATTACCGAAACTAAGTGGTTCAAATCCCCATAAGTAGGTGAAGAAAGCTTAAGCGTTCTAAAGCAAATATCATAGAGCGCTTCGTTGTCTATACAGAAAGTCTCGTCGGTGTTCTCAACCAGCTGATGAACTGATAAAGTAGCATTGTAAGGCTCGACGACAGTATCAGAAACCTGAAAAATAAAAATTAATCCTTGTGATTAGCAAAAGCCCTAGATTTTATCTATTTGTTCATAAATTCCGGCTTATGAATTAATTTTATAACCGGCTTCTTACCTTAGGTGAAGGAAAGACACTGAAAGAAGCCATAATTCGGTCTGGATATTCTTCACGAATTTTAGAAATCAGCAGAGTTCCCATTCCTGAGCCGGTACCACCTCCCAGTGAGTGAGTCAGCTGGAAACCCTGGAGGCAATCACAGCCCTCAGATTCTCGTCTCACGACTTCAAGTACCGCGTCAACGAGCTCTGCTCCTTCGGTGTAGTGTCCCTTGGCCCAGTTGTTGCCTGCGCCGCTTTGACCAAACACAAAATTGTCTGGACGGAACATTTGACCAGTAGGTCCGCTGCGGATTGAGTCCATAGTTCCTGGCTCCAAATCCACCAAGATTGCTCGTGGGACGTATTTGTGATCTAAAAAAAAATATAAAAATATGTTTATTATTCATATATTCAATAATTTTATAAAAAATAAATTATGGCAAAAAAAATTGAAAAATTGTTAAGTTAACAGGCACTTGACCTTTTTTAATTTTAATCAATAAATAAATTTGTTCTAAAAAATGATTTAAAAAAAAATTGCATTTTTAACTTATTAAAATTTTTAATAATCATAAAGTTAGTCAAAATTTTGGATTTTTTAATTTTTGCTTAATTTATTAAATTAGAATTAAAAAACATTTTTAAAAAATTGCACTTATAGTTTTTTTTACAAATGAAAAAAAATTTTTTCATAATTTTTGCCATAATTTATTTGCTAAAAAAATTATTAAAATAATCCAATAAAATATCTGCAAAATTGTAATTAAACTTACTGTTAGCTTCATTGTAATAAACATCGATACGCTGCAACTGCAAATCGCTTGTACCATTGTAGTGTCCAGTTGGATCAATGCCATGTTCATCAGAAATCACCTCCCAAAACTGTAAATCAATAATAATAATAATAATAATAATAATAATACAAATTAATATTATTCCAGATTTTCATCAAATAATTCCATTAAATTTAAGTCTGAGATTTTAGACCAGATAATTCTTGCGATAATTATTCTAAAATAGCAAAACGCATGTGCAAATTACTTCTCTAACTCCGAGCGACTCTTAACACAAACGTAGTTATTTATAAAGCCCAAGCAGTTTTAAAATTTCTCCTCACACACGTTTATTCGTCACCTAAACTACCATAAACCCGACATAAAATTTAACTATTTCCTAAATTCAATTATTTTATTACCCACAATTTAATTTATCGCTTGTTAAAATATTATTTTTATCTATATTTGACAATAATTTTAATCTTACACTTAAAAATGATTCATTGAATTTTTATCTAGGTTTTTTTCAACACAAAAATATTTTTTTTTTTTTTTTCCCAACAATCTCAATTAAACTATTGATTAATTCTCCTTAAAATGCAGACCCGCGAATTTGTAAAGATGCGCAGTTCCAAACACGTGGAAAAAATTAATTTAATTTCATAATTAAATAAAATAAATATTAATTTAATTAATCACTTTGCTTAAATTAAATAAATTAACATAAAAATAATTTTAAAAAAATATTGAAACCTTAAAAAAATTTATTAACACTAAAAAAAAATATATAAATGTATATCTGACCTTCGAACCAATTTGGTTCCCACATTGACCGGCTTGCAAGTGAATAATTTCCCTCATGATTATTTATGTGATATAAAAAACTCGGTAAATTGTTTAATATAAAATAAAAGTAAATTTTTAAGTTAAGTTTGTTGAAATAGCAATAAAATACAACGGTATTTCGAGTTAACACGTTATGATGCTCAGGTATATATATATAACAACGTTCACAATGGAAATATTAAAATGAAAAGATAACTCAGTTGTACGTTATACGTTAAAATGACTAAATCCAATAAATGTGACCACGAGTACATGAGCACGAACTCGAACGCATTTTTCTCTTCAGAAAAAATAGCGATACACGCGCAGCAATGGCGGTGCGGACAGTTGATGAACTTCGAGAGGAAATATTAAGTGAGAAGAGAAAATTACTGTGTTGGTAGGTCGAGTGCTCTCAGAAATTACTGTCGTATCAACACTATACTCAAGAAATTACTCTCTCTTATCTCAATAAACCTATAGAGTCTAAGTAGCATCTTATTAGCTCATCACTTCACACCTCTGATAAATATATACCTGATAGAGAGGTGATGCATACATATATTTACTTATCATCACTTGTATTACGTAATCACCTGACAATTGAAATTTTTTAATCAATCAAGATTAAAGTTATCATCTAAAGTTGAGCAATTTAACATTGGTCTTATGGGGTAACCTTCAAACACTGATACATTTCTCTATTTTTCTCGTAAAACTGTCGGTGAATATTTTTAAAAAACTTATGGATGAAAGTAAATATATTAGTGATAAATTTAATTCAAAAAAATTTACACTTGCCCGACTAATTAATGTGTATTAATTAAAAGAAAAATAAATGCCGCCACTACCCAATGTTAAATGTATATCTATATATTGAAAAAAATCATATGGTTACTGCGTTCCCCTTACCGCGTTAGAGTCGACACCTATCCCCACCCCGCCTGGCGCTCGTACTTCCTTAAGAAAAAATTTTTTTTTTTAAATTATCATTTCACCTATGCAATAAGATAGTAAAAAAAAATTTTTTTTAAATCCCAAAATAGTCTATTTGTTTATAAACAATTTCTTAACAAATGACGTAAAAAATTTTTTTCCAATGTTAATTCATACCTATATTAGATGCAAAAACACCAATAATAATAATATATATTACCAAAAAAAAATTTTTTTTAATATACCCTTACAAAACATTTTTCTAGACGTCATTCCGAATTGAATGAGCTATGGCACATATTTTTAGGAGCTTTATTTCTATTTAACATGTTTTCGAACTTGTTGACTAGACTATTAATTTTAAATTATTAATGTAAAAATTTTGAAACTATTTGATTTTTTTCTTTGAATAAAAATATAGTTCACTGAAAAAATTTGGAGTTATTTCTCAGCGGAGTAAATTAATTAACT